TTGCACATTTATTGAAAATTAAATACAGAAATATCTCATTTGCATAAGTATTCACATCCCTGGGTCAATACATGTTTGAATCACCTTTGGCAGCGATTACAGCTGTGGGTCTTTCTGCGTAAATCTCTAAGAGCTGTGAAAACCTGGATTGTACAGTATTTGCACATTCTTCTTCTTAAAATTCTTCAAGCTCTGTTGAGGGGATTGTTATCATTGATAGACAGCCCTTTTCAAGTCTTCCCATTGATTTTCAAGCCAATTTAAGTCAAAACTGTAACTAGGCCACTCAGGAATATTCAATGTCGTCAATATTTTTGTTATGTACAGGCTTCCTTCTTTTCACTCTGTCATTTAGGTTAGTATTGTGGAGTAACTACAATGTTGTTGATCCATCCTCAGTGTGCTCTTATCACAGCCATTAAACTCTGTAACTGTTTTAATGTCACCAGTGGCCTCATGGTGAAATCCTTCCTCTCCAGCAACTGAGTTAGGAAGGGTGCCTGTATCTTTGTAGTGACTGGGTGTATTGATACACTATCCAAAGTGTAATTAAGAAGTTCACTATGGTCAAAGGCAGGGGTGCAACTTTGGTTTTAGAAGTGGGGGGGACAAACTTATTTTTTATTTTTTATCCAGTCGGATAAACATTCCAAACATTCCAATGATAAAACTGGGGGTGGGGGGGACAAAAATGCAATTTCAGAACGTCCCCAGTGAAAGTCGAAAGGGATATTCAATGTCTGATTTTTGCATTGGAAAACCTCCCTGGTCTTTGTGGTTGAATCCACTCATACAGAGTGAGTCCGTGCAACTTACTATGTGACATTTTTACTTCTGAACATATTTAGGCTTGCAATAACAAAGGTGTTGAATACTTATTGACTCAAGACATTTCAGCTTTTCATTATTTATAAATTTGTAACTCCACTTTGACATTATGGGGTATTGTGTGTAGGCCAGTGACACAAAATCTCAATTTAATACATTTTAAATTCAGGCTGTAACACAACAAAATATGGAAAAAGTCAAGGGGTGTGAATACTTTCTGAAGGCACTGTAAAGTAGTTTCACTTGATATGTTGGTGACATAATGAGATTGGAATGCCCATGAATAAGCCCTTATCTTGACTTGATTACCTACTAACTACACCATAATAAAGTGATGACCTTATGATGAATTGACTGACACATCTAAACGCATCATTCAATTCCTGTTTTTTGTTTTATTACGAAATGAAAGATGTCAATCTTTTAGTTTCATTGCAGATTTGATACAGTATGTGAGAACATAGAGTTAGAGTATATAACTTTCCAAATCTACCAATATCTCTTACTGATGCATATACTGCACGACTGTATACAGAGCTTTATACAAGCTATCTGCAGGATGCCTCTGGCCCCTGATAGTTTTGGTGGCTCCTACATGGGGATGTTGCACTCTGGTGGCAGACTGTGACAAGTCATCACATTGTGCCTTTTTACAATAAAGTCAGATACAGTTGAAGTCGGAAGTTTACATACACTTAGTTGACAGTGCCTTTAAACAGCTTGGAAAATTCCAGAAAATGATGTCATGGCTTTAGAAGCTTCTGAAAGGCTAATTTACATCATTTGAGTCAATTGGAGGTGTACATGTGGATGTATTTCAAGGCCTACCTTCAAACTCAGTGCCTCTTTGCTTGACATCATGGGAAAATCAAAAGAAATCAGCCAAGACCTGAGAAAAGAAATTGACCTCCACAAGTCTGGATCATCCTTGGGAGCGATTTCAAAACGCCTGAAGGTACCACATTCATCTGTACAAACAATAGTACGCCAGTATAAACACCATGGGACCACGCAGCCGTCATACCGCTCAGGAAGGAGACTCGTTCTGTCTCCTAGAGATTAACGTACTTTGGTGCGAAAAGTGCAAATCAATCCCAGAACAACAGCAAAGGACCTTGTGAAGATGCTGGAGGAAACAGGTACAAAAGTATCTATATCCACAGTAAAACAAGTCCTATATCGACATAACCTGAAAGGCCGCTCAGCAAGGAAGAAGCCACTGCTCCAAAACCGCCATAAAAATGCCAGGCTACGGTTTGCAACTGCACATGGGGACAAAGATTGTACTTTTTGGAGAAATGTCCTCTGGTCTGATGAAACAAAAATAGAACTGTTTGGCCATAATGACCATCATTATGTTTGGAGGAAAAAGGGGGTCTAGCAAGCCGAAGAACACCATCCCAACCGTGAAACACGGGGGTGGCAGCATCATGCTGTGGGGGTGCTTTGCTGCTGGAGGGACTGGTGCACTTCACAAAATAGATGGCATCGTGAGGAAGTAAAATGATGTGGATATATTGAAGCAACATCTCAAGACATCAGTCAGGAAGTTAAAGCTTGGTCGCAAATGGGTCTTCCAAATGGACAATGACCCCAAGCATACTTCCAGTTGTGGAAAAATGGCTTAAGGACAATAAAGTCAAGGTATTGGAGTGGCCATCACAAAGCCCTGACCTCAATCCTATAGAAAATTTGTGGGCAGAACTGAAAAAGCGTGTGCGAGCAAGGAGGCCTACAAACCTGACTCAGTTACACCAGCTCTGTCAGGAGGAATGGGCCAAAATTCACCCAACTTATTGTGGGAAGCTTGTGGAAGGCTACCCGAAACGTTTGACCCAAGTTAAACAATTTAAAGGCAATGCTACCAAATACTAATTGAGTGTATGTAAACTTCTGACCCACTGGGAATGTGATGAAAGAAATAAAAGATGAAATAAATCATTCTCTCTACTATTATTCTGACATTTCACATTCTTAAAATAAAGTGGTGATCCTAACTGACCTAAGACAGGGAATTATTACTAGGATTAAATGTCAGGAATTGTGAAAAACTGAGTTTAAATGTATTTGGCTAAGGTGTATGTAAACTTCCGACTTCAACTATATATCCTGCCACAGAATGTTGCAGCCAATTGTAAATGTTCTATCGACTGTAGCAAACATCTTATTTGTTCTGACGTTTGTTCTTGGGTAAGCATTAAGCAAGCAGGGTTTGGTGTGATGAGGACAATTTCCTTTATTTCCCAATGCATATAAAAGAAAAGACAGCTTCTTGCTTTGATTAAACACCCAGTGCCATTTTGGATATATCAGTGATCTCAATATCCATGATCTCTTTTACTCAGTTACAGGTAAGGCTTTTTCATTATTTCATCTAAAATACACATTTAGAGTATCTCAGAAGCATTACACTATAAATACAATATCACAAAATCTCATTCACAAATATTGAATCACAATACTACATACTTGAATAGTAGAGAAAGTAGAAATTGTATTGACATGTGGAAATGTGTTACTTCTTTACATTTCAAATTTAGTTTAGGAAAAATGGTACTGATAAACAATTCAATTGTATCAAATATTCAATTGTATGGCAGTTAAACAGTAGTTAAGGTGTTCATAGGTAATTGCTACTTTTTATTTTATTTTACCTTTATTTAACTAGGCAAGTCAGTTAAGAACAAATTCTTATTTACAATGACGGTCTACACGGCCAAATCCGGACGACGCTTGGCCAATTGTGCGCTGCCATATGGGACTCCAAATCACGGCCGGTTGTGATACAGCCTGGAATCGAACCAGGGGATCTCTAGTGACACCTTAAGCACTGAGATGCAGTGCCTTAGACCGCTGCGCCACTCGGGAATCAAATGCTAAACATTCCAGCATTTTTACCTATTTGTACATACACTGAACAAAAATATAAACACAACATGTAAAGTGTTGGTCCCATGTTTCATGAGCTGAAATAAAAGATCCCAGAAATGTTCAATAAGCACAAAAAGCTTATTTCTCTCAAATTTGGTGCAACAAAATTGTTTACATCCCTGTTTGTGAGCATTGATAATCCATCCACCTGACAGGTGTGGCATATCAAGAAGCTGATTAAACAGCATGATCACTACACAGGTGCACCTTGTGCTGGGGATAATAAAAGGCCACTCTAAAATGTGCAGTTTTGTCACACAACACAATGCCACAGATGTCTCAAGTTTTTCAATTGACTGATTTCCTTATATGAACTGTAACTCAGTAAAATCGTTGAAATTATTGCATGTTGCATTTATATTTTTGTTCAGTATAGATTATTCATAGTTATCTCATTCTGATCTACTTTTTCTATCTCTATGTTTATTTGAAGTGTATTCTTACTGCGGAAGGCACCTCAACAACATCACAGATGTGTCTGGGGTTTATTGCTTTCACCACTTTTCTGTTGAAAGGTCAGTTTCTTCCAGATTGTGCATACTGTACTTCCCTCTTAACTGACTTAATGACAATAACATCTCTGCAATGTGTGCTTGTGTGTTTTGACAAATGTGTGTGAGATTGATAAACCTTTGTGTGTGTGTGCAGACAAATGTGTTTTGCTGTTCAGCCTGGCCTCAAAGATTAGATGTAACATAGTAAACATGAATATGTGACACTCAAATTAGTAGGATATGTTACGTTTGGTATGGTTACGTAAGACAGAAGATTACTAAAGCCAAAAACGAAAGGAGGGAGGTTGGTCGGGGAGGATGGGTATGCGTATAACACGAACGTCTAGCAACCCAAAGGTTCGAACAATCACATCAAGGACAACTTTAGCATTTTAGCTAATTAGCAACTTTGCAACTACTTACTACTTTTTAGCTACTTTGCAACTACTTAGCATGTTAGCTAACCATTCCCCTAACCCGAACCTAACCCTATCCCCTAACCCTAACCTCACCCTAACCTACATAGCCACCTAGCTAACGTTTGCCATAACAAAGTGGAATTCGTAACATGTCATATGTATTGCAAATTCGTAAAATACAGTATCAAATGAAATGGATGATGGACATCCACAAATTAATACATACAATTCGAAACGTAACATATCATACTAAATGGAGGGATACAGATGTATTTTTACTATGTTACGTGTATCCCTGAGTCCAGGTTTTGCTGTTCAGTGTTTCTTGATGGTGCTGTGTTCTCCAGGTGCACTCTGCCAACAGTGGATTCTGTGGACGCCCCAAAGCATTGTGGCTGTTGGTGGATCCTGCCTACTGGTCCCATGTAGATTTGAGATCCCTGCTGAGTTTGATGCTGACTTGAAAAACTGCACACCCACTGGGCTTTGGAAAAAAAATCAAATTTGGGGAAATATAGTATTGAGCTCAGCCAAAACAGATGCCCAAAACATCATTAAGGGAGAGATGGTGGGAAATCTGTTGAACAAGAACTGCACCACCATTTTCAACAGTTTCCCTGCAGGATATGATGACACATATTTCTTCAGGCTGGAATGTGCTGGAACAAATCGCCTCAAGTATACTTTCTCCTCAGGAGTAAATATCAGTCATGCAGGTACACTGAATTTGACCTTACCTAAGAGATTTATGATTTCCAATTAAACAAACATTGAGGGCTAAACATTCTAACAAAAGGACTACATTGAACTCTTGTGAATACTAACAGCAAACACAGGTTTAAATGCTTAACATCAGGGCCGGCTCTAGCCCTAAGCGAGATTTGGTTGAGGGGCCCCCTCACCAAGCAGTTCTACACATTGTTGCCATGGGGCAAAGAGCAAGTTTAGCAATTTTATAACTAATCTTGCCATAACCTATGCAATGCTAATGATATCTGAGTTAGAGTGACTAACAAAATCAATGGGGGCCCCCTGGAGGTCAGGTCCACTGAGCACCTGCTTGCTCGGCTAAGATTACTACAATTTTAGATAATTGGCTAGACTAACTTACCAATCTAAAAAATTGTTAGCTGAGATGGCTAATTGAGTGATTGTCAGTGACTGACAAAACAAGAGAAAAACTGCTAATGCACAACCAAATTTCAACCTTGCACATTGTGTATTCTACTATTCTAACTCTCAACAGTAAGTTGAGACCCTGACTGAGTTCCTAATTATATTGCTTATGCCTGGAGCCGGCCCTACTTAACATGAAAAAAAAAGTGATGTTCTAAGCAGAGTTGGTTTCAACCTGGTTGCCCCATACAGTATGCCATTGGGCTATATCCAGGCCTCTTTCTGTCTTGTTATTGATTCTATATCTCTCTCTCTCCCACATATCTTTATTACCCCCAGACACCCCACCCAAACCCCAACTAACCCCTATGGGCAACATCACAGTGGGGGAGCGGGTTAGACTGAGCTGCTCTGCCCCCGCCCTCTGCCCTACGTTGCCGCCCTCTCTGACCTGGACCTCTGGGCTAGGTGGCATTGTTGAGAGCCAGCTACAGGAGGGTTTAGATGGGCTCATGACCATGACCTCCACCCTGACCTTTACTGCCTCCCTCCCCCATCACGGGATGATGATCAAATGTTCTGCCTGCTACACACTGCAGCCAGGGGCCACCACAAAGACGACTCAGGGGAACCTGACCTTCAATGTTCTGTGTGAGAGACCACAATCATATGACCAAACCGCAACCATATGACCTCAACTGTAAAGAGTGGCGTAGTTATACAATGAAACGAAGGAATCTCCTTATTTATTGATCGATAATTGATACTGTTAAGTGCTAAACACTATCAAAGAGCACAGGGCATAAAAAACAAACTGGTTAAACATGAATTAGCAGGTAATAAGCAGCCAGTTAGCTATTCATACCTATGCAATGATTCTTCCCATCCTCATACACTGTATGCGTATCTTCTCAATAGTGCTTTCTAGATCATGTTCTCAATACTATGGCAACCTTCCAGCTCACTTGTGAGACTTCAAAATGACACTAATCGTCATAATTTATTTTCTGTTTTCTCTCATTCACATCAATACATTCTATTTCTATCATTCGCACGTTCGTTGACACTCACATGACGAACGTTCCCATGTGGGAATTGGTCTTTAATCTTACGGATCAAAATGAGCTCACGTACCTCACAGGAAGTTGATTTAACTGTGTGGATTCTGTCTTCCAGATCCGCCTAAAAACACTGTAGCCCTGTCCAGCCCATCTGGGCCTGTGCCCGAGGGGAGGGCAGTGACCCTGACCTGCCAGAGTGATGCCAACCCACCGGTGGAGCGCTACTCCTGGTACAAAGACATCAGTGGGCAGGTGATCTGGAAGGCCAATGGGCAGACACTGGTCCTCCTGGTCAGTAAGGCAGACAGCGGGCTGTACCTCTGTGAGGCCCACAACCAGAAGGGATCACAGAGGTCAAAGGTCATGCCTCTGGAGTTCGAAAGTAAGTAATTTTGTTCACTTTATGACTAATGCACTACATTTGACCTAATAGTGTACTATATGAAATAGGGTGCCATTTAATTTGTTGAAAAGTGAACATTGTATCTATATTTTAAATGGTTAACACTCAAGGCAAATGGACAACAAATGAATAGTCAACTTTAAAAAGCCATGTTCTATTCCCATTGTTTTCAGCTGGCCAATGTTCCATGATGGCCCCCTACATCATCTGTGGAGTGATTGTGTTGCTCTATGTTCTGACCGTCACCGTGGATGTGTATAAATATAAAAGGTATCATTATTTACATGTTCATGCCCATCGAGTTTAGGAATACATTTATAGAAAACATTTATAGAAGGACTGTTCCGATCCTCTTTGTTCTAACCCAAGTTCCCCCTTTTTCCTTCCCTAAGTCTGTCCAGAAGACTGAAAGTAAGAGGGACATTTTCATTTTCAGAATATTCTGTTTAACAGAGCAATTTTAAGGCATTGGCAGTAGATGACGCAGTTTGATACTCAGAGTTTGATATGATACAGAGGCAAAGTGTTTCTACGTCAAAGATTCTACGTCAAAGATTCTACGTCAAAGCGTTGACAATTCTTAGTTTGACTATTACACATGTTGAATCTTTGACCAAATTCACTGTGGTTTTGTATAAAACGTGCAACACTAATGCTCCTATTTCAAATGACATTTGATATAGTATTGATACCTCTGATACTGATAGTCTGTTGGAGAAGATATAACTTCTCCATTTAAATACAATTATTTCTCCTCAATATTCCAGCAGCAGCTACAGCTGTCAGAGAAAGGAGACAACACATACACTAACCTAACGATCGCCAGCATCAGCGCTGACTATGACCAACTCCAGGTAATTATAATGAACAATTTCAAATATAAACTCACAACAACATACAATGTTGTAGTTTGTAGGTATTTAAGCTAACTGTTTTATGTGTGAGTATTAATTTGCATGAAGTAAAGTCAAACATCATCAGTGTGCATGTGTGTGCACGCGTGTGTGTGTGTCCATTTACAATGTGTTCCTCTGACAGATGACCAGGGCTGCCCCAGGTGAAAGAGCAGCTCCTTGAAACCACATGGCAAAACAGATCCAGATTTGACCTTTGCATTTTACCTTTGTTGTATGGAAAATGCAAATATCTTTTCATTTTTCTTTCTTTCATATTGTATATTTAGATCGCAAAATACATTATATTATATATTTTAACCTGAATGTCATCACCTCTGCTAGTGTATTTTATCCTGAAAGAGTTCAAAATGACCCAGAGGCGACGTGCAACAGATCTTTTTTAAAGGGGGCACTGATGGCCAAATTGGATGTCTTTGGATTGATATGTAAAATAAACCATATCTTCTGTATTTTCAGTGTACAAATGGATAAACTGAGGAGGTGCCTGCCCCCAGTTTCAATTCTTACACCTCAATGTGTAAGAATATATATCTGGATTAATGCAATGGTTTATGCACTGATATATGTATTTCCTAGCACAAACCATGAAAAACAGCCCCAGACAATTATTGCTCCCAGACGTTTCCACTTCACAATAACTGACCGGGGCAGCTCTAGCAGGGCAGAAATTCGACGAACTGACTTGTTGGAAAGGTGCCACGTTGAAAGTCACTGAGCTCTTCAGTACAGGCCATTCTGCTTCCAATGTTTGTCTATGGAGATTGCATGGCAGTGTGCACGATTTTATACACCTGTCAGCAACAGGTGTGGCTGAAATAGCCGAATCCACTAATTTGAAGGGGTGTCCACATACTTTTGGCCATAGTACTAAAGTGTAGTACTAAATTGTAGTTTAATGTTTTTGGTTTGTGCTTCAGCATCATCAGTGTATTTCTGTCTTCTTCTCTGTATATTATGTTAAACCATGCAGGGGGTTGTGGGTTGTGTCAGTCAGGATTATAATGGGGATAATCAGTCGAATAAATCTCTTAATGCCATTCTACCGTGTTTTCTCTCTTGAAATTCCACACATTCCATTGGCTCCATCAATGAACAGGAAAGAAAGTAGAGGATCGGGTGGGCGGTGGAGGGGAAATGACAAAGCGGGGTGTGATCTGACATCACTTTTCTGCCCCCCCCCCCCCCCCCACGTTCTCTGAAGGTTACAAAGTTGGGAACACACACACACACTGGATTATACAATTAAATATGAACAATTGACACAATTATATAATTTCAGTTATCAATTTGTTTTATAAAACTGGTTCGGAAAAATCTGCAATCTGATTGGCACACACACCTTTACATCCTCGGACCGAGGCCCGAACTCAGCGGTCCTCACTGCAGGAACTTCATCCACACTCTCATCAGGTTCCATCTCTGAGCTACTGGAACACATATCCCTCTTTTTGCACTTGATGCCAACCTTCCTCGCCACACTGCTTCCCTCTACACTCAACTTCTTCTCAACAGTCATCACTGCACCTGCCATTACATCTAATTCATCCTCAATCTTGTCACTCTCAATTTCCTCAAATTCTTCCAAAAGTTCTGCAAAATCCCTCATTCTATATTCCCTCATAACCATTTCCACTGTTCTCCTTTTTTTCTCGTCCATCATCTTCTCCTTCACCAGATCTTTCAGAAGGCCTGTGGAATCCCCCACTAACTTTCTTCCTTATTTCCTTTTCCGCCATCTTCTCCAATCGCTCCCGTTCTCCAAAACATTTCTCCCTGTGCAACCTCTCCAACGCCATCTGCCATCTTGACAACAGCTCAAGGTGTCACATGACCGTTTGTCTTGTAAATTAATTGTAAAGGAGAGTTCAAAATGTGGTCCTCTGTAGCTCAGCTGGTAGAGCATGGCGCTTGTAACGCCAAGGTAGTGGGTTCGATACCCGGCACCACCCATACACAAAAATGTATGCACGCATGACTGTAAGTCGCTTTGGATAAAAGCGTCTGCTAAATGGCATATTATTATTATTATTTTAAAAAAAAATTGGGGGGGGGGGGGGGGGGGGGGGAATAAAAAACAACTGAACAAAAATATAAATGCAATATGCAACAATTTCAACTATTTTACTGAGTTACATTTCATATGAGGAAATCAGTCAATTAAAATAAATTAATTAGGCCCTAATCTATGGATTTCACATGACTGGGCATGGGCACAGACACATGGGAGCCAGGCCCAGCCAATCAGAATTAGTTTTTCCCCACAAAAGGGCTTTATTACAGACAGAAATACTCCTCAGTTTCATCAGCTTTCCGGGTGGCTGGTCTCAGACGATCCCGCAGGGGAAGAATATAGATGTGGAGGTCCTGGGCTAGCGTGGTTACACGTGGTCTGTGGTTGTGAGACCGGTTGGTTGTACTGCCAAATTCTCAAAAACGACGTTGGAGGCTTATGGTGAAGAAATTAACATTAAATTCTCTGACAACAGCTCTGATGGACATTCCTGTAGTCAGCATGCCAATTGCACACTCCCTCAAAACTTGAGACATCTGTGGCATTGTGTTGTGTGACAAAACTGCATATTTTAGAGCAGCCTTTTATTGTCCCCAGCACAAGGTGCACCTGTGTAATGATCATGCTGTTTAATCAGCTCCTTGATATGCCACACCTGTCAGGTGGATGGATTATCTTGGCAGATGAGAAATGCTCACTAACAGGGATGTAAACAAATGTGTGCACAAAATTGGAGAGAAATAAGCTTTTTGTACATATGGAACATTTCTGGGATATTTTATTTCAGCTCATGAAACATGGGACCAACACTTGTTGCGTTTATATTTTTGTTCAGTATAGTTAGCTATTTACAAAATGATGTGCACTCACCTCCACACACAATTTCCCTTAGCTATGCAACGTTCCCAGAACATTTTTTCTTCCAAGATCCAAACGGGAACCACAGGAGGACGTTAAGTAAAAGTTTTAATTCACTAAAAAATTACGTTATTTTACAAGGTTATTTGAACGTTCTCAGAACAATGTGTTTCTATCTTACCAAAATAGCAACATTCTCTAAAGGTTCTCCTTTGGTTCTTAGAAAAATGTCTTTACCACAACGTTCCCAGAACGTTCTGTGAAAGTTATTTTTCTAAGAACTGAAGGAGAACCTTTAGAGAACGTTACAGGAACGTTCTGTGCTAGCTGGACCCCTCCCTGCCCCCCATTTCCCACCAGGGAGGAAGTGACAGATCTTTGATGACATCATGGCGCACTCATCTCCTTTGTCTGCTCTGTCTGAGTCTCTTTGCATATGTGTCCATCCATGAAACAACAACAGGCAGAATGCTAGCGGGGAGATCTGACAGTACCTGCTACAGAGAGGGTTGGGTGCAGAGTGGGGACATAGGGTCAGTGCCACTTACTCACTAAAGGAGGATGAATTATATAAAACTCAGATAAAAAGGAATCACCACTTAGCAACCATTTCAAACATCAAACATATCTGATAAATATTAGTTTTGAATCATCTCTTTTAGATGAGTCTCATTGCAACTTACGGAGTGGGACAGTTTTTTTTCAAACCAGTATGGCAACCCCCTAGGGGTCTTTATACTGGTTGGGGTCTTTATACTGGTTAGGTTTCTTTATACCGGCTGGGTTTTTTATACTGGTTGGGGTCATGGGTTGGGTTCTGGTTAGGTTCTTTAAACTGGTTGGGTTCTTTATACTGGTTGTTTGGGGTCTTTCTACTGGTTGGTTGGGGTCTTTATACTGGTTGGGTTTTTTATACTGGTTGGGTTCTTTATACTGGTTGGGTTCTTTATACTGGTTGGGTTCTTTATACTGGTTGGGGTCTTTATACGGGTTGGGTTCTTTATACTGGTTGGGTTCTTTATACTGGTTGGGGTCTTTATACGGGTTGGGTTCTTTATACTGATTCAGTTCTGGTAGGGGCCCTACCAGAACTGAACCAGTATAAAGAACCCAACCAACCAGAATAAAAAAAACAACCAGTATAAAGAACCCAACCAACAAGTGTAAAGAACCCAACCAGAATAAAAAACCCAACCAGTATAAAGAACCCAACCAGTTTAAAGACCCCAACCAACCAGTGTAAAGAACCCAACCAGTACAAAGAAACCAACTGGTATAAAGAACCCATGCAGTACCCAACTAATGAACCCAATCAGCATAAAGAACCCAACCAGTATAAAGAACCCAACCGGTATGATGGAAAACAAAGAAAGAAAGTGAACAGCCATGTTTTGGGAGGGGGAGAGGGAGAGAGGGGGCTTGCGGGGGAGTTATTCTATGAATGGAGAGGGTGACTCAGGTGATGTGTCATCGTACACATTCTATAAAAGAGAACGTTTGGATTTGTGAACTCATTTAGGGGGATGAAAGATTGGGGCTGCTGACAGTTTATTTACAACTTTTGGATTTTGGGGTGACAATGAAATGTAAGTATTTCTGATACTACACTATTGACTGGGGATGTAATGTGTCTATGTGTATGTGTGTGTGTGTGTGTGTGTGTGTGTGGGGGGGGGGGGGGGGGGGGGGGGTGGTGTATACATTTTGCAACCTGCCAACAATGGTGCAAATGACAAATTAAAGGTATAATTCTGGTATTTTGCATATTTAGATATTTGTTTCCTTACCTTGAAAGCAGTCTATGGACAAGGAGTGACTTCAATCCACACTAGCACTTTTGGACCAATTCCTCATGTAAATCAATCTCCACCGTTTAGCACCAAAATGTTTGAAACAAAAATAGTCAAAATAGTTTGAAACCAACACAATCAATTTAAGAGATGATTTGGGCAAACAAAGTGGAAACAAATAAACAAATAACTAAATATATAAAACCACCGACTAGTCAACTAGTCACGCTGCATCGTTGGCTCATAAGCAAGCGTTTCATGGTAAAGTCTACCAGTTGTATTCGGTGCATGTGACAAATAAAATATGAATCAGCTGTACAGTATAAAAACTGGGTCAGGAATAGCTTTTTGACAGTGCAAAAGTGACATACATTTTTCAAAGAAATGACTGCACAGGAAATGGTTACCTCTAAGGTAACTCTCTTTAACGCTATGGCTAAATTCAATAAATGTAACATATGAATATAAGTAGAGTATGTTGTTTCTAGTGTTCAAAGTATAATTGATTTTTGTCTGCTTCAGACTGTGGGGGTTGGGGGGGGGGGGGGGGGGTTCTAATCTAACATATGGATAATTTAGCAATTTCATAAAAATTCTTAGGACCCCTTTAGTTTTTAAGTTTTTTACAATTATTTGATAAAATATTGAATTGGCCTTTACTACTATAGCCCATAGAAACGCATTGAATAACACATTTATAAATGGCAAAAATAGACTACAAAATAATCATAAGGAATAAGGTTTTGAAGTGTCTGTCCTGATATAAGAAAGCTGAGGGGAAAAAATGTACTTTCTTTTATTATGCCAATTAGATTGACTCACATGTGCGTCAATAGACTCTTAAAGATGAATCAGGTAATGAAATAACAAATACATTTTTCTATTAAATGAAATTACTGCACAGGAAATGGTGACCTCCTTATAAATTGGCTAAGTTGACATTAGTAAGTTGTCCTGTTTCCCTGTTTCTCAAGCATTGATTAGTTGAATCAGATTTGTTAGTAATGCCCCCCCCCCAGGTATGCTTTGAATAACATTGCCTGTGTGGTATAGGGGTAAATTTACTAATGGTTAAAGAAGCCCTTTGATAATGGCTTATAAGAATTGTATAGGGGATCTATATGCTACTGTATTATTCTACTGGCAATGTACTGGTCATCAACATGTAGTTCAGACAGATTCCATCTCACTCCTTGTAAAATGTCTACCACAACATATTCAGCATTATTCATCAATGACTTGGCTTGAACTGCAATACCTTGTTTAGTTCTGGTTGGTGATTTATATGAAGGGTTGGTTACAGTCTGCGGGCTAGGAAAACAGTTGACATCAATGCTTGTAATTTCATGATTTGATAGCATCAAATGAATCACTAGGCTACTGTACAGACTCAGAGCCATAATGCTTGCTAGGAATAACCACATAGTCTAGAAAAGGTTATTTGAAGTTGTCGGCTTGATGAGTCAATGATGAAACAGTGGGACTCCATGCTGATTGGAGGACCCCTTTTTCAAACGCAACCTCTTTTTCAAATGGAAGCTATCATGTGTATGTATTTCCCGCTCATGGTAGCATATGGCATCTCATGATAAAGGCATGTTGCACCAAAGTGAAGGGGGGAGTGGCCAAGTTAAAATAAATATCTGTTTCCATAATGGCTTCTTGCTCTCTGGGAAGACAAAAACCTGTAAGGTGGTAAACGATCAGCGTGTCCACTCACTCTAATGTAGGCCTACCATGTGGTCTGGTACCAGGCTATTGAATCACCACTTAGCAATTGTTTAATAATGTTGCATGGCATTGTAAACGGTGACAATTTAACCTATTGTTCAAAACAAACCTATATTGAAACGTTGATGAATGCTGTGATCTTGAATGTAACCCTGATCCAATGCTTCATGTAATGTACCTCTCTAAAATTATTATTGATTTCTTATCTCTGCAGTGTGCCTGGACTCCACACAGTCTATCCTCCTGTTGCTGCTATTGGCCCAGCTGCTTGTCCTTTCATGGTCACGCCCCACCATCAAGTGCCCCCTCTGTGCCCATCTGACAATGATGGTCCAGCAAATGAGAAGCCTGCAGATGCTGACAAGTAATCTACAGGTGAGTGAGTTGACCATAGTTTAGTAGGCACAGCACAGTTATTGCTAGTCAACATACTCTCAATCTGTGACCATCCAATATAACTCTTATCTATGTCCTCTTAATTTAGAGTGAAAGGGATTTCAGCGGTATAGAGCTTATGGAGTACAACCTAGACTCTCTTCCAGAGATGGAGCACACCGCAAATCACCTCAGTTCACTAAAGGTATGTATCAGTCTTCTCAAGTCCAGTCCTTATTGCATGCTTTTATCTGTCTCTCTCTAAATAACTACAGTGCCTTCAGAAAGTATTCACATCCCTTGACGTTTTCCACATTTTGTTGTGTTACTAAGTGGGATTAAAATGGATTTAATTGTCATTTTTTTGTCAATGATCGACACAAAATACTCTGCAATGTCTAAGTGGAAGATTTTTATATTTTATTTTTTATCGAAAATAAAACACTAATATATTTTGATTAGATAAGTATTCAACCCCCTGAGTCCCCCTGTTAGAATCACCTTTGGCAGCGATTACAGCTGTGAGTCTTTCTGGTTAAGTCTCTAAGAGCTATGCAAACCTGGATTGTACCATATTTGCCCATTATTCTTAAAAGAATTATTCAAGCTCTGTCAAGTTGGTTAATGATCATTGCTAGACAGCCATTTTCAAGTCTTGCCATAGATTTTCAAGCCAATTTAAGTCAAAACGGTAACTAGGCCACTCAGGAACATTCAATGTTGTCTTGGTAAGCAACTCCAGTATATATTTGGCCTTGCCTTTCAAGTTGTTGGACTGCTGAAAGGTGAATTTGTCTCCCAGTGTCTGTTGGAAAGCAGACTGAACCAGGTTTTCCTCTAGGACTTTGCCTGGGCTTAGCTCTATTCCTTTTCTTTTTATCCTAAAAAACTCCCTAGTCCTTGCTGATGACAAGCATACCCATAACACGATGCAGCCTCCACCATTATTGAAAATATGAAGAGTGGTACTCAGTAATGTGTTGTGTTGGATTTGCTCCAAACACAATGCTTTGTATTCAGGACAAAAAAGTTAATTTCTTTGCCACATTTTTTGCAGTATTACTTTAGTGCCTTGTTGCAAACAGGATGCATGTTCTGGAATATTTGTATTCCTTACAGACTTCCTTCTTTTCACTCAGTCATTTAGGTTAGTATTGTGGAGTAACTACAATGTTGTTGATCCATCCTCAGTTTTCTGCTATAACAGCCATTTAACTCTGGAACTGGTTTAGAATGGGAAGAAATTAAGAAAATGTACGCACTCACTACTGTAAATCGCTCTGCATAAGAGCGTCTGCTAAATGACTAAAATGTAAATGTAAAATGTTTAAAATCACCATTGGACTCATGGTGAAATCCCTGAGCGGTTTCCTTCCTCTACGTTAACTGAGTAAGGAAAGACGGCTGTATCTTTGTAGAGACTGGGTGTATTGATACACCATCCAAAGTGTAATTAATAACTTCACCATGCTCAAAGGGATATTCAATGTATGCTTTTTTTTTGCCAATAGGTGTCCTTATTTGCGAGGCATTGTAAAACCTCCCAGGTCTTTGTCATTGAATCTGTGCTTGAGATTCACTGCTCGACTGAGAGACCTTACAGATAATTGTATGTGTGGGGTACAGAGATGGGGTAGTCATTAACAAATCATGTTAAACACCATTATTGCACATTGAGTTAGCCCATACAACTTATTATCTGACTTGCTAAGAACATTTTTACTGCTGAAGTTATTTAGACTAGCCATAACACAGGGGTTTAATACCAATGTCTCAAGACATTTCAGCTTTTAATTTTGAATTAATTTCAAAACATTTCCTTTACCGCAATTGTAAATGTCCCTCAGTCAAGTATTGAATTTCAAGCACAGATTCAACTGCAAAGACCAGGGAGCTTTTCGAAAGCCTCATAAAGAAGGGCAGTGATTGGTAGATGGGTAACAATAACAAATCAGACATTATGCAGTTTTCCTTCTGAACTGAGCTGCAGGACAGGAAGGAAACTGCTTAGGGATGTCACCATGATTCCATTGATCAACAACATTTTAGTGACTCCACAATAATGACGTAAATGACATAGTGAAAATATCATAGAAAATAACATGCATCTTGTATGCAACAAAGCACTAAATTATTACTGCAAAAAAACACGGTAAAAGAGTAAACTTTTTGGCCTAAATTAAAAGCATTATGTTTGGGGCAAATCCAACACAAATCACTGAGTAACTGCCTCCTTATTTTCAAGCATGGTGGTGGCTGCATCATGGTATGGGTATGCTTGACATCGACAAAGACTGGGGAGTTTTTCAGGATGAAAAGAAACGGGAATTTGAAAAGAATAATGGGCAAATATTGCACAATACAGGTGTGCAAAGCTCTTATGAGACTTGCCCAAGAAGAATCACAGCTGTAATCTATGTCAAAGGTGTTTCTAACATGTTGAATACTTGTGCAACAACTATATTCAGTTATTTAATTTGTATTCATCTTTGTTTTTTAGTTATAATTTTTCTTCCATTTTGACATTATATAGTATTTCGTGTAGGTTGTTGACAACAAATGACAATTACATACTTTTTAATCCCACTTTGTGAGACAACAAAATGTGAAGAAATCCAAGGTGTCTGAATACTTTTGCAAGGAGCAGTATACAGTACCAGTTATCTGAAAGTGACATAAAGTTCTATAAATGTAGTGACTTAAAGCAACATAAATGTATTCCATAATTCATCACTGCTCAGTTTATTTAATATATTGTGAGGAATGCTTCAGGGGTGCTTTATAAATTCACCAGGAACAATTTTCAGAAGATTTTTTGACGTTGTACTAAATATGCGTTTAAAACACAGTGTCAAGTCCCCAGTCTTTGGAATTCACAACTTGTCGCCCTCTCTTCCCTTTTCCAGCTAAAGAACTCCCTCTCACAACTTTACACCGATCTCTGCTCCTTTAAACTGCACGTTGACTGGCTGATTGATGTCCGAGTCAATATGAGCCTGCCAGTCTCTCCCAAGACAGTAGAGGTCACTAAAGGCCTGCATAATCTCTCAAGCCTCTGTTCGACTGCACTAAAGCAGGTAGGTAGCGCAATATACTCTGGGTACAGTTCTAGGATCCACTTACGCGCTCAAATTCCTAACCTTATCCATAAGTGAGGGAAAATGTAACCAACCTTAGGTCAGAGTATATGGGCAATGTCATTGTACTCCACTCAGATCAATGTGATACAAAGCTGAAGTGGTACAAAAAGAGCTGACTAATGTCAATGGTAGAAAGCTTAATGTACCCAAGCATTTTAGCTTAGTCACTGTGTGGAAAGAACATCTATATAATATAACAAATATGGAAAAGCTGTTTGGATTTTGATAATTCACTGTGGTATGTTCAGATGTTATATTTGACAGTAACATAAGATTCTTAGTTCGCAACATTCTAACTTTTCCCACACCCTTTCTTCCCCCATTATAGATTGCATGCACACTACCCCAGATTTCCATTCCCTCCTTCCCAACACAACTCACAACCTGGGATGTGGCTCTCCTCTCCTACAAGATTCCTGAACAGTTAAGATTCTACTGTCAATGGTCTACCAGAGTGCTGCTCTTCCTTAGGTCACAGGTTCAGGGCCTTTGACATAAAGTTTCCCGTCATCTAGGTTCCTACTCTGTGCAACAACAAATGCCTTTCTCCAAAGCACTGTTAACTTATTCAATTTAACTAGAGGTTTTACTTTTCTAAGTACGCTTACTTACTGTGAATGCGAATTGTGTTCAACTTGAGTATCTAAGATTCAGCTTACTGTAACATGTCATTCTTTCAAACATAATGCACTCTATAAGGTCAATTGCTTTTTACCTCACCCTTTAGTCTTAGCTCATTTAAATGTTGAAATGCAAATTCTATTTCTTTAATATACAGTCATTTATAATATCCTTATTACAGTGCTGTTACTGAATAATGTGATTGAGTTAGGGTTAACCCTAACCCTAAATCTGAACGAGCCTATGACCCTGTTTTGTATTGTGTTTACTGAATGTACAGTTATTTATTAACCAAGTGTCTCATATCTGAGCCTATTATATTTGTGATGCTGGCATCACATATTTTTATAAAAATACATGATAATATCCATGGGATTTACCCATTTAAAATAAAAGACAGTGATATATGACCATGTTGTCCTGCATTTCTATACACAAACTGACATACTATTTGCGTAACTTAATTGAATGGTATCTACATAATGACTTCACAACACATTTATAATGCTTTCATAGCAGTACTACCGACCCGTAGAACTCACTTTCGTCATCATGAAGTGCTTCGAGAGGCTGGTCAAAGACCATATCACCTCCTCCCTCCTCGACACACTCAACCCACTCCAATTCGTCTACCACCCCAACAGATCCACGGACGACGCAATCGCCCTTGCACTGCACACTGCCCTTACCCACCTGGACAAAAGGAATGTATATGTGAGGATGCTGTTCATCGACTACAGCTCGGCCTTCAATACCATAGTGCCCTCTAAGCTCACTGCAAAACTCACGGCCCTGGGACTGAACTCCTCCCTATGCAACTGGGTCCTGGACTTCCTGACGGGCTGCCCCCAGGTGGTGAAGGTAGGCAACATTATCTCCTTGACACTGATCCTCAACACGGGGGCCCCACAAGGGTGTGTCCTCAGTCCCCTCCTGTATTCCCTGAATAACCATGACTGCGTGGCCTCACACAGTTCCAACTCTAACATCAAGTTCGCTGACGACAAAACAGTAGTAGGCCTGATTACCAACAACTACGTGACAGTCTACAGGGAGGAGGTAGGCACTCTGACGGTGTGGTGCCAGGTAAACAACCTCTCACTCAACGTCAGCAAAACAAAGGAGCTGATTGTGGACTTCAGGAGAAACCAGGCTGGGCACGCCCCCATCCTCATCAACAGGGCCGCCGTGGAGACGGTCAAAAACGTCAAGTTCCTTGGCGTACACATCTCAGAGCAGCTGAAATGGTCAAATCATGCGGACACCGTGGTGAAGAAGACACGACAGCGACTCTTCAACCTCAGGCCGTCCCCGATGGCCCTCACAGTGTTCTAAGGCTAAGAAGATCATCAGGGACCCCAGCCACCTGAGCCACGGACTGTTCTCCCCGCTTCCATCACTCAGACACGGGCAGTATAGGAGCATCATGGCAAAAACTGAAAGACTGGCCAATAGCTTCTACACCCAGACCATCAGACTGCTGAACAGCCACCACTAACCAGCTACCTACTCCCCCTGTCCCCCCTCCTGCCCCCACCCACAGACCAGCTACCTGCTCCCCCTGCAGTAGTGCTTATGACCTGCTTATGAATGCATTATGTATAGGTTATGATTGTGTTATTTACATTTTACATTTTAGTCATTTAGCAGACGCTCTTATCCAGAGCGACTTACAGTTAAGTGAATACATTTTTTTTTTTTTTATACTGGCCCCCCATGGGAATTGAACCCACAACCCTGGCGTTGCAAACACCATGCTCTATCAACTAAGCTACATCCTGAAGTCCTTATGTAGGTACCCTTTAAATGAAGTGCCACCCAGAACTTTGCTACACATGAACATGTAACACTGATGACATATTGCTAACACAGCTAAAGTGACAGTACAGTTGTAAGTTGCGTGGCAATGCTAGTCGCAGAGAAATGTATCTGCCCCAAGGGGGGCTGGAAGGGTTAGAAAAGATGTTGGGCAGGATAGCTGGTGGTCCGATGGGTGGCGGTGGGGGAGATAGTTAGATAGTTGGCAAGCTGGAGGAAATAGAGTTGGCAGGCACTCAAGATACGAGAGGATCGCACTATAAAGCTGTTTTGGTGTGTGACCCCCTTCAGCTGTTCGGTTTGTCAAATGAGGGGAGAGAGGGAGTTGGAGAGAGAGACAGAAAGAAAGAATGAATGAAAGAAAGAAAGACATACAGACAGACAGACAGACAGACAGACAGACAGACAGACAGACAGACAGACAGACAGACAGACAGACAGACAGACAGAAAGACAGAAAGACAGAAAGACAGAAAGAAAGAGGCACAAAACAAGTGGAAAAGTTGAGGAAAAGAGGTAGTAATTGGAAAGCCTGTGATGGAGTGTGTGCCGCTTGTTAAGCACAGGTCACACACAGATGGTTATCCAAGCACAGGTTTGTCAGAGTGGCATGCCCTCTCTCGCTCCTCTTCAAAGGGGAAATGCTGCAAGCGTGGAGGGAGAGAGATAGAGAGAGAGAGAGCGAGAGCGAGAGCGAGAGCGAGAGCGAGAGCGAGAGCGAGAGAGAAAGCGAGAGCGAGAGAGAAAGCGAGAGAGAAAGCGAGAGAGAAAGCGAGAGAGAGAGAATGTGTGTGTCCACTATCTATGAGAGAGAGAGTGGAAAAAGAGAGAGTGTCTAGACAAGTGTTTGGATAGACACAGGCGTTAATTTGTTGATTGACAGAAAATATTGACTGGCCTCCACAACAGGCAGGGATACAGATTCACTGCAACCTGTCTGTGAGGAACATCACAATATCACTGTGAAAGGGACTGAAGTCAACCACAGAGCCAAAATGACAGTAAGTAAGCCATCCTCTCACCCCATTTTCCTCTGAAACCAAGAAAGAATTAGGAGCAATGTGTTTCTTTCAGCCAAGATTCATCAAGGTTTAGGTAGACATTGATAGAAGTTTTCTAAGATGCTGACTTGTTCTGAAATGGATTTAATCCAGTTTTACTTCATACATTTCTTCTAAATGTATTAATAAAAAGTACTATTTTATTGCACTGTTATATAAGGGGGGGGGGGTAACACTTTATAATAATTTTCATGCATAAGCCATTGTAAATGCTTATACATGTTTTTAAATGCTTTATTAAATGATTATAAATGCTATAAAAGCTTATGAATTGGAATCCTTGTAATGCGTATGAATGCTTATAAATGTTTTTAAATAATGAAATACCTATTTATTAACAGTTTACTAATGCTTGTTCATGATAGGTTTTATAAAGCATTTACCCGTTATATTGATTCATATTCATATCAATCCAGACTGTTTATGCTTACACTGTTGATACAGAATGTTCCACTATTGTAATCCATATTGAGTAGTAGACAGAAGTGGGGTACAGGACAGGACAAGTTTAATCCCAAACCACACGACTCTCTTTCACCCAACACAAAGCTACAATAACAATAATAATAACAAGCCATTTAGCAGACGCTTTTATCCAAAGCGACTTACAGTCATGTGTGCATACATAACCAAGGTGTTAAGTCCATGTCCCTACAGGCTATTCAGGTAATGCCGTGCTGGCAGGGGTCTGTGCTGGGTTTACCCCTGTGGAGCTAGCTATGCCACAGAGACATATATATCCTTGGTTGGATATCCATGGCTCTCTATGTACTAATGGGGTGTCTTGGGGTCAATCCGGTCGGCTAATACAGAAAAATCCCACAATCGCCCTCCTGGTGCCAATCAATGGAAAAGACAACAACCAATCAGAATAAATCAAAGGCTTTGTTGAAATGGGAGGTGTCCAAAAACTGTCCATCAAGCTGTTCATTGTGCTATAAAGGGATGTGTTTACATCTGGTTTAGTGCTGCCAAAATCGTCATGACGACAAGCATCATGACAGATATCTGTTATGTTCCCATCTCCGCAGGCTGCCACGAGACTATTGGACGAGATGTGCCATCTCACAGCCCAGTCGCTTACATCACTGGAGACCTCGGACCACTTCCAGGTGGTCAAGATGTTAGGGGAGGGGTCGTACGGGAAGGTCATGTTGGCTGTACATAGAAAAAGAGGTAAACTATGGGTCTGTTTTAATCCTAAACCCAGTTTACCTGGCCTCATATCTCCAGAATTTCTTTCTTTCTTTTGTTCTGATCACTTTTCTCTCTCTTCCTTCCCTCAAGGAACTCCAATGGCCCTGAAGTTCTTTCCTCGTGATTCTACAAATCTCTTTTCCTTTTTGCGAGAGTATAACCTCTCCCTCTCCTTCTGCACCCACCCGTCCCTGACCAAGTCCCTGGGCATTGCCTTCTCCACCCCCTCACATTACGTTTTCGCCCAGCAAGCCAGCCTCTTCGGTGATCTATACGACGTCATTGTCCCTGAGGTATAATATACAGTATGTGTGAAGAACTTCCACTCCCATGAGACATTTGTCAGTATTCTCTTATGAAATTTTGGTAACTAACAGAATGGGAAATGTAGTTCAACTGTGCCTCTCTATGTCTCAGGTGGGTATGGAGGAGGACTGTGTCCAGAGGGTGGTTTCCCAGCTGTGTGGTGCCCTAACGCACCTCCACTCCCTGGGCTTCGTCCACCGTGACGTCAAGCCCGAGAACATCTTCCTGGTCGACGCTGCCTGCCGCTGGGTCAAACTGGGCGACTTTGGCATGGCCAAGGCCACAGGAACCAAGATACCTGGTGTGTGGTACAGCTCTGCTTACTGTACGCCCGAGGCAGAGATAGCGAAGGAGTTGGAGGATAGTAGCCATAATACTGCTTCAAAACCTGATGGAGGAAATGGGTTGGACAACAAGATCAAGAGGGTGTGGGTGTCGGTGGAGGCCAGTACAGACTGCTGGGCCTTGGGGATCCTCATCTACGCCATGCTGACTGGCAGTCTACCCTGGATGCAGACCGCATCCAACGACCGCTCCTACATCAAGTACAAAGAGTGGTTTGACCAGCAGAAAGATCAAGATGGTCAGGACGATGAACGAGACATATGGGGGGAAGGAAAAGACGAGGACATCATGATGAGTTTGGATGAAGACAAGCGGAATCTGAACGAGAGAAAATCCCATCCGGTCGCCCCCCAGTTTACCTGTTTCACCCCACTAGCCTGCTCCCTTTTCCAGGCACTACTCCACCCGCAGCCTGGGCTTCGCGGTAGGCCCAACGATGTGCTGGGCTACCTCGGAGGAGACTGGTTGCAGGAGAAGGAGAAGATACGGTTGGAGGAGGAGAGGAAGAAAATGAGAGGGCGAGAGGTAATCAGGAACGAGAAAGAGAGGGAGGGAAGGGGAGAGGGATAAAGGAGTGGCGACACACGATCATGAACTCACAAACTCAGAGGTGAAAGAGACAATATTTTTGACCTCCCAGAAGACTATACATATCCTCTAATGTGTCACATTGGTGCTTAAAAAGACATTGTACAATATACAGTGCCTTGGGAAAGTATTCAGATCCCTTGACTTTTTACACATTTTGTTACTTTACAACCTTATTCTAAAATGTATTTTTTTTTTTAATCCTCAGCAATCTACACACAATACCCAATAAGGACAAAGCGAAGACAGGTTTTTTGAAAATGTTGCAAATGTATTAAAAATAAAAATAAACAGAAATACCTTTACAAGTATTCAGCCTTTTTGCTACGAGACTCGAAATTGAGCTCAGGTGCATCCTGTTTCCATTGATCATCCTTGAGATGTTTCTACAACTTGATTGGAGTCCACCTGTGGTACATTCAATTGATTAGACATGCTTTGGAAAGGCACACACCTGTCTATATAAGGTCCCACAGTTGACAGTGCATGTCAGAGCAAAAACCAAGCCATGAGGTCGAAGGAATTGTCCGTAGAGCTCCGAGACAGGATTGTATGGAGGCACAGATCTGGGGAAGGGTACCAAAAACATTCTGCAGCATTGAAGGTCCCCAAGAACACAGTGGTCTCCATCATTCTTAAATGGAAGATGTTTGGAACCACCAAGAATCTTTCTAGAGCTGGCCGCCTGGCCAAACTGAGCAATCGGGAGAGAAGGGCCTTGGTCAGGGAGGTGACCAAGAACCTGATGGTCACTCTGACAGAGCTCTAGAGTTACTCTGTGGAGATGGAAGTAACTTCCAGAAGGACAACAATCTCTGCAGCACTCCACCAATCAGTACTTTATGGTAGAGTGGCCAGACGGAAGCCACTCCTCAGTAAAAGGCACATGACAGCCCACTTGGAGTTTGCCAAAAGGCACCTAAAAACACTCAGACCATGAGAAACAAGATTATCTGGTCTGATGAAACCAAGATTGAACTATTTGGCCTGAATGCCAAGCGTCACGTCTGGAGGAATCCTGGCACCATCCCTACGGTGAAGCATGGTGGTGGCAGCATCATGCTGTGGGGATGTTTTTCAGCGGCAGGGACTGGGAGACTAGTCAGGATCGAGGAAAAGATGAACGGAGCAAAGTAGAGAGAGATCCTTCATGAAAACCTGCTCCAGAGCACTCAGGACCTCAGACTGGGGCGAAGGTTCACCTTCCAACAGGACAATGACCCTAAGCACACAGCCAAAACAATGCAGGAGTGGCTTCGGGACAAGTCTCTGAATGTCCTTGAGTGGCCCAGCCAGAGCCCGGACTTGAACCCGATCGAACATCTCTGGGGAGACCTGAAAATTGCTGTGCAGCAACGCTCCCCGTCCAACCTGACAGAACTTGAGAGGATCTGCAAAGAATAATCTGAGAAACTCCCCAAATACAGGTGTGCCAAGCTTGTAGCGACATACTCAAGAAGACTCAATGCTGTAATCGCTGCCAAAGGTGCTTCAACAAAGTACTGAGTAAAGGGTCTAAATACTTATGTAAATGTGATATTTCCGTTTTTTTAGTTTTTTATACATTAGCAAAAGATTATAAAAACCTGTTTTTGCTTTGTCATTATGGGGTATTGTGTGTAGATTGATGAGGGGGAAAAAACTATTTAATCAATTTTAGAATACGGCTGGAACGTAACAAAATGTGGAAAAAGTCAAGGGGTCTGAACACTTTCCGAAGGCACTGTATAATACCACTACAGTTGCACTTATTGTAAGATAAAGAGCCATCAAGTCATTGTTGATACTGGATAGCATTTGGGGATAGACACAGCTGCAATTGGCTACTATAGGGACTTTTAATTAGCATTTTGATGTGTTCAATCTAGTAAATTCTAAGTGTGACTTGATGATGGTGTTTCTGCATTCTAAATAAATAAGGTAAACATCATCTGTATGTCTTAGAATTTATTTGAGTCTAATAAACATTTTATTATGAGTTACCATTTGGATTAAAGTCATAAATTCAAAGTTTTCCTGGACCTATCTCTCTAGATTGCTCTGATATTTACACATTTTAAAGTCTTCTGCATTTGTATTGATTCTATAGTAGGTTATCTAGCTACTCTACTGTCTTACGTTAACCAGGAAAATTGACAAGATTTCAGATTTTAAAAAAATCATTGGACTTGGAAAGTAGAATAACAACTGAAACTGCAAGCACAAAAAACTGTTGAATCAACGTTGTTTCCATGTCACTTCAACAAAAAATGTAATGTGATGACATTGAATCAATGTGGAAAACTGATTGGATTTGCAAAAAGTCATCAACGTAAGGGAATTCAGTCTTTTTCACCGAACTTTTAACCTAAATCCAATGACATGGTGAAATGTTTTGTTGGTTTTACGTTGAAGTCACGTTAACTCAACCAAATGTAAATCCAAACAAGACGTTGAACTGATGTCTGTTCCTAGTGGGACATGACTATCACTCCATAATGTGAACCGCATGCACTAGGCAGTTGGCCTTCAACAAGTAGCCATACTCCTTGCCATAGAAGGACCTGGTATGAAGATACAACATAAATCTGCTTGTCTGCACAACAGGGTGCTCCCCAAAAAATCCCATAATAATGCACGATGTCAGCAGAATGTCATTGTCCCCATTGCAAATGTACGGAAATATGGAGGCCATTTTATGTATTTGGACCATTTCACTCCACAAGAGGACACAGTGACTGTCATTCACTTATCCTGACAAACAAGATCCAGGGAAGATTGGAAAAAAATGGCTGATTTATTATTACACATTTTAATTGTGGTGTGCGAGTAACTGAACACTATTTAATTACCATAATATGACACCCTGGCATGCATAGGCCTACATACAAACACACGCCCTCACATGCAGACACAAACACACAGAGTACCAAACACACACAGAGCGATCTTCCCAGGGTGCCACCACAGACATATTTAAAAATAGACCAGCCATGACGACCCATCATCATCCCCTGTCTACCCCAACCCCCTGTTCTGCCCCTTTCTCACATGTGGGCCTACAAAGTCCTCAAACAGTTCACACACAGCATTCACTTAACCCCTCACGCACACATTCAGTCAACATGATCACAAACAATGGATGAATTCCTTGAACAGACCACACATGAACACGTGGTCCTGTCAGGTCTCTTTCTCATAACATCAATGCACATACGTGAACAATAAACACACCATGTGCATATATCACACTAACTCCATGTACAATAAGTCTGTAAATAAAATAGTTATTCTTTAGGACTATTGTAATATATTTGTTTACGACCCTACATGGATCAGTTCTGCAGACTATGGTCGGCTAGTGAATTTATTAGCTTGAATATATTTGCTCTCCGACACTCAGAACTTCTTGGAAATGACAACTAGGTCAGTGGCTAGATATCTACAGTATGTTGAACCATTACCCAGTGCCCAGTCAAATAAAAACATTATAGAACCGTAACTCAACCAATACAAGACAACTGGAAAAGTTGTGGTTGTGTCAATCTCACCTATACGATTTGAGCCAATTTCTTCTATCTCTTTGGTAACAATTTACATTACAACCTGGTCTCATAGACGTAAATCTGGGACACTCAAAATAGTATGATATGTTACGTTTGGTATGGTTACAGAAGACAATATTTACCACTTTCTCCAATTAGAAACAAACAGTACAAGAATTCAACATCTATGGGTTTGAGTAATATTGACCCATAGACTACATTAGAGCAAGAAAGATCGAGAGAAATGCAAGAAAGTACATTTTAGGTATATTTAAAATGTATTTTCTCATGGCCAAAACATCAGATCCCATGCTAACTAAATTCAAACCGACATTTTAGGTACAGTGGGGAAAAAAAGTATTTAGTCAGCCACCAATTGTGCAAGTTCTCCCACTTAAAAAGATGAGAGAGGCCTGTAATTTTCATCATAGGTACACGTCAACTATGACAGACAAATTGAGAAAAGAAAATCCAGAAAATCACATTGTAGGATTTTTAATGAATTTATTTGCAAATTATGGTGGAAAATAAGTATTTGGTCACCTACAAACAAGCAAGATTTCTGGCTCTCACAGACCTGTAACTTCTTCTTTAAGAGGCTCCTCTGTCCTCCACTCGTTACCTGTATTAATGGCACCTGTTTGAACTTGTTATCAGTATAAACGACACCTGTCCACAACCTCAAACAGTCACACTCCAAACTCCACTATGGCCAAGACCAAAGAGCTGTCAAAGGACACCAGAAACAAAATTGTAGACCTGCACCAGGCTGGGAAGACTGAATCTGCAATAGGTAAGCAGCTTGGTTTGAAGAAATCAACTGTGGGAGCAATTATTAGGAAATGGAAGACATACAAGACCACTGATAATCTCCCTCGATCTGGGGCTCCACGCAAGATCTCATCCCGTGGGGACAAAATGATCACAAGAACGGTGAGCAAAAATCCCAGAACCACACGGGGGGACCTAGTGAATGACCTGCAGAGAGCTGGGACCAAAGTAACAAAGCCTACCATCAGTAACACACTACGCCGCCAGGGACTCCAATCCTGCAGTGCAAGACGTGTCCCCCTGCTTAAGCCAGTACATGTCCAGGCCCGTCTGAAGTTTGCTAGAGTGCATTTGGATGATCCAGAAGAGGATTGGGAGAATGTCATATGGTCAGATGAAACCAAAATAGAACTTTTTGGTAAAAACTCAACTCGTCGTGTTTGGAGGACAAAGAATGCTGAGTTGCATCCAAAGAACACCATACCTACTGTGAAGCATGGGGGTGGAAACATCATGCTTTGGGGCTGTTTTTCTGCAAAGGGACCAAGACGACTGATCCGTGTAAAGGAAAGAATGAATGGGGCCATGTATCGTAACATTTTGAGTGAAAACCTCCTTCCATCAGCAAGGGCATTGAAGATGAAACGTGGCTGGGTCTTTCAGCATGACAATGATCCCAAACACACCGCCCGGGCAATGAAGGAGTGGCTTCGTAAGAAGCATTTCAAGGTCCTGGAGTGGCCTAGCCAGTCTCCAGATCTCAACCCCATAGAAAATCTTTGGAGGGAGTTGAAAGTCTGTGTTGCCCAGCGACAGCCCCAAAACATCACTGCTCTAGAGGAGATCTGCATGGAGGAATGGGCCAAAATACCAGCAACAGTGTGTGAAAACCTTGTGAAGACTTACAGAAAACGTTTGACCTGTGTCATTGCCAACAAAGGGTATATAACAAAGTATTGAGAAACTTTTGTTATTGACCAAATACTTATTTTCCACCATAATTTGCAAATAAATTCATTAAAAATCCTACAATGTGATTTTCTGGAAAAAAAATTCTCATTTTGTCTATCATAGTTGACGTGTACCTATGATGAAAATTACAGGCCTCTCTCATATTTTTAAGTGGGAGAACTTGCACAATTGGTGGCTGACTAAATACATTTTTTCCCCACTGTATATTTAAAATGTATTTTCTCATGGCCACAACATCAGATCCCATGCTAACTAAATTCAAACCGATCTGTCTCGTGTATTTTGGCTCAGAGTTTCATTGATAGATATGTATTAAATGTTGACATACAATTTTAAAAGACACATAAGTCGCCAGTCTCTGATGGTTAAGTTAATATTAGCATCCAGTAGCCACAAGCCTGTTAATGGACCTAGCACAAGACTAGTGCAGTCAGGCACTCCGTGGTCTGATACCTGAACCTGCACACTGCCTTCGATCAGACCTGTGTTTGTGAGGCAACTTAAAAAATGATGGATGTAGGATATGAGAGCATTGGAATCAGAAATAGAATCTCATGTGCTTGTATAAAAATGTCAAAACTCTCAAATATCATTTGAAATACATGGTAAAGGATAACATGACACAACATAATAAAGTGACTTAGCAAAAATGCTATGCAGTCACGTTCTCCTGAAAGGGATACTTTTATAATATGAGTTGGATTGAAGTGTTTGAAAGGTGTTTCAGAGATATTTTCAGAATTAACGAGGCTCTATAGTAATACTGAAAATACCTAAATCAAATACCTAAAGCGAAATACAGCACATTTATCCAAAAACTGTTTTTCGGAATCGATTGCAACCTAGGTAAGTGGAAACATTGTGTTAAATTGTGTTTTGAGAGCAACATCCCTTCCTATGCCAGAACTAACCACTGCCATCAACCACTAATATTAGCATTTTCTAATGTAGGTCAATGTATGTCCCCTAGATAGTGTGTTTCAAATATCATGTCCAAATAATCTCTGAAAGGGATTGTGTAGTTCAAATGAAGTTTATTTTGGATGATTTTGGCATGAAATTTAAAGCATTCTAATGGGGGACATTTACTTACATGGGTTTTGGTTAGAAAATACAAATATTAGCAGTTGGTGGCAGTGGTTAGTTGAACATAACTAAAGTGTGGATTGCAGTATTTTCTTGTGCATACAGACAGTGGACTAAGGAAACAAATATGCTAATTTCCAATTTGGTTGAATTATCCCTTGAATGTGAAGAATTGATGGATATCTGACACTGAGCTTGGTCCAGACCCTCTTGGTATTTTCACAGTATGTCATCTTAAAGCATTGACAGACTAATAGCATTACAAGTCTCATTCCTCAGAACTATGAGTACATGTGTATGAGTCACGTGTTGCCAATTGATCAGTTGAACGATATCCTGGGACGGATGGAGACAGATGGTGGAATGGAGAGCGATAGATGAGGCTCAGTGGAAGTCATTGACACTGTACCTCCTGTCCTTTTTCCATCTCTCTCATTACTCTCGCTATCCATCCATCTCTTTCTATCGTTTTCTCTGTCAGCAATGCTAAAAGCGACCAGCCACGAAGAGATCATGCACTGACCCCCTGTTCCCCACCTCTCTCTCTCATTCTTCCTTCTCGTCTGTCTGGGTCATGTCAACAGCAACCAGTCATGGAGTCACGCTAACCCCCCCCCCCCCCCCCCCCCCCCACATCTTCATTTACTTCCAGCCTCTGCCTGGCTTGTGTCACAGTCTTATTAATCTGTCTGTCCACTGTGTTCTTTGCGTGATGTTCCCTGTACCCATGTCCCCCTGACCCTGTTGTGTCAACTTGGTATTTGTGACGAATGTGTCAGGTCTATTAAAAGGTCCAATGCAGCTGTTTTATCTCAATATCAAATCATTTTTGGGTAACAATTAATAAAATAAAATAGATTTTTATTTACTTGTATTTATTCAGGGGAACCCAATTGAGACCAGTGTCTCATTTACAACGGGGCCCTGAGGACAAAATTACATCAATAAAAATATTAAAAACTACCAGACAGCTATAAATACATTACATCAGGTTATTATATTACAAATTATAATAATATATTGAAACAATTGCACACTTCAGTAAACTCATTTAACAACAGAGTTTTAAACTGCCTTATCGGCACTAGGGAATCCAGGTGAAATTTGTTTTGTAAGGTGCATAAAACTAAAGGCAGATTTACCAAACTTTGTGGAGACAAGCGGGACCTCAAGAGTTAACCAAACCTGCAAACGGGTTTGGTATCTCATATTTTTATATTTCAACAGGGAAGTGAGGTATTTTGGAAGCTTGTGGAGCAGAGCTTTGTAAACAAGAAGGGAGTAATGAAGTGATCTACGGGACTTTAGTGGGGTCCAGCCGACCTTCTGATACAGGATGCAGTGATGAGTATTAAAACTGTGATAAAGCGAAGGGCGCTATGGTAGATGGCATCCAAAGGTTTAAGAGTAGTGGCTGCTGCATTCTGGTAAATGGAGTCACCATAGTCAAGAACTAGCAGGAAAATTGACTGTACAATCTGCTTGCTTCCTGCTGTTCGTGGAGAGGTAAGATATTTTTCTAAAAAAGAAGCCCACCTTAAATCTTAGCTTTTTAACTAGCTCATCTGTATTTGTTTTAACGTTAGATCTTTATCAATCCAAACGGCCAGATGAGTGCATATTTAGAATAGAGTGAGAAGTTAAAAAACTTCTTAGCTGGGAGTTGGTCAAAATCTTTCAAATCTTAGGCATAACACCAGTAACAATTGTCAGGTAAAAATTACAGGTTAAAGGTTCAACAACGAGTGGGGGAGAGAGCTGTAGTAAGAAGAGGTCAAGTGAATCATCCCCTGTGGACTTCTTTACATCGATCTTTAGCAAGGCATAGACATTACATCATAGACATCAAATGGTTGAAATGAAAATAAAGTATGTGAGTCTGCCTCATTCTCTGCAATCTGTTCTGAGGTGACTAAATGACCCCCTCTAGTGGAATGAGATACATTTTCATAGACTATCCTTTCAAACAGATGGCCAGCTGAAATGGTAATTTAAAGCACTACAAATTTCAATTTTGTCTAGTATGGGACCAGAGGCAGTCAAAACCTGCCGGGGCAACGAGGGGGTGGAGTTTTGTTTAAAAGATTTGACCACTTTCCAGAAGTTTGCTGGATTACCACCACTCTCTGATACACAATTCAAGAAATATGTTGATTTTGCTTTTCTTTGAGATAGACATCTATTTCTCAAATGTCTGAAGGACAATAATAGCTTCTTAGCAAAGAGCAATTTCTCAAGCAAGTATTTTCAAGGACTGTCTGGAAGTGGTTTGAGTGGGGAACTGAAAATGAGCTGTTATTGGCATTGAGGTTTGGAACTCTTTCTTATTGGTCTATTAACTAATTTACCACATGGTGATGTCACCATGGAGGGCCAAAACTCTCTCCCACCAAAACAGTGTGGAAATATATATATAAAACCCAGAAAAGTCATGTTGACTACACTGGGCCTTTAACTTCTCAACCTCTCCTGCTTTAGATAATGTCAGGTAGTCTTATGTGGGAATCGGCCTGTGTTTACCTTCATGTCCCGTGTACATGGAGGCTGTGGTGGCAGGTCAAAAGCAGAGCATGTACAAAGCAGTTCAAAGTGGCTCTGTGGTGGTCAGCGTTGGGCTGTCCCCCTAGTGGTAAAGGTTGAGAGTTACACAAACTATTTGACACTTTTTCTCTGTCAATGGATATAGGAATGTAAACGTACAACTTCAAATATTAATATCCCCATTTTTGGAATGTCTTTTGTATTTTGGGAAGCCATGTTTTCTAACACCTTTGACATACATACCTTGAAGGCAAAAAACACCCTTTGTCTACATTCTCATGAAATAATAACAAAGTACAAGTCTAACTTTCAAACGTCATATTGAGATTAAAACATGACAAACTAAAAACCTAATTACTTTCGTTTTTTACTCTCATAAAGCTTCATTAACATCTAACCTTTTCTACCATGCATCATCCATAAGATGCACAAAGACACACGACTCCCTTTGAAGGTCTTTATTGCCACTTTCACATGTCATGATGAGTAATGACAACCCAAGGCAATAAATCATAAGTACGCATCCAGTGACATTACAGTAACCGTGGAATGACAGAGCCATGTGAAACCATATTCTGGGCAGTGGATGCTGCTGTGGAGAAAACGGCTCCTAATAATGTCTGGAGCTGCACGAATGGAATGGCACAAAACACATGGAAACCATGGAAACGATGTGTTTGATGTTGTTGATACCTTTCCACTGATTCTGCTCCAGCCATTACCAAGTGCCCATCCTCCCCAATTAAGGTGCCACTAACCATCTGTGGTTCTGGGGAAGGTAAACAAACACTATTGACATGAGGCGACTTAGTATTTCAATCCCAGCAACATCCAACAGCACATCCTCCACAACAACAGTTGTAGTTGTTACACAATCATCATATTACACTATGTTAGACAATCATCATATTTCACAGCCTGGTTGCCAGATTGGTTTCTGCATTGGCTATTGATAAAGGAGTAGGCAGACACAGATCTGGCATCCCAGGCTACTTATTTCATAATCATACAAATGAAACATTGAATGGCACTTTTGCGCATATAATTAGTTTTATACCGATTTACTTGTCATTCTTTTCATTACAAGTATGCATTTTCACCCATTCTCATCCAATGTACACTACTACATCACAACTCCCTACCTACAAATGGACTGTAGAGTGCTGTGTCATGTCCTCAGCATCAAAGTAAACACAGGCAGTCAGTACAATGGAAACAGATATGTTCATCAATATGAGCCCTATTTTGTTTATCCCCCTTATCCCAAAAATAGCCTATAGTTTGCATGCAATCATAAGGAATATCGTAGATTCCCTCCAGCCAATGCATACACCAATCCAATGCTTTTAAGTGAACAATTGCACACTGAGGAGAATGGGGGAGAAACGGAATTGAGCTACTGTCTGAGCAATTACAATTCATTACTACAAATCATTTCCCCTATTATGATCAGAAGAAAACCATATGGGAAAGGATGTCTCCCTATGGGTTCCCCTATCTAAATCAAGCATGCCGTGATGATTAGGTAAACATTAACAAGAGGGCGCTGTTGCCGGGTAAAAAGCAGTACTGTAAAATTGCTGCTACTCTTGTGATAACAGGAAATTGAAGATCTTATCATCATAGCCCATAGGCGGTATTGAAGACCTCCTACCATAAAACTCAATTGACCAAATACTGAACATTTGCATACATTTGCATTATTATCCCAAATATGACTTTTTTTTTTATTTAATTTATTTTTTACTTTGGGAGGAGATTATAGCCTACATTCATTTATAGTTTTGATAAAGACTTTCGACAAGTGCATGGTGTTCTTTGTCTCTTGGACAGTTTGCTGTTGTATTGTAGCGACAGAGGGAGGAGGTGCCTTCAGCGATGGAGTCAAATGAAAAATGCGATGACGTGGACTCAAAACTGTCCCCAATTCGGAGTGTGCTGTTGTCGTGATGTTGGAGGGAGAGAACTGAAGATAAAGAGACGATTTTTACAGGCTGATTGACTCATAGCAATACCGGTGTTACAGTACATCAAGCATGTATATCAGTATATCATAGCATAACAAGAAAAAGGGCTAAAATAAGCTCCGTCACAGACAGTTCTAACAAGTTACCTTGCAGGAGAGGAGAAGTCTCCCCAAAGATCAGTGCTGGGGTTGGATGATTGGACCACAGTGTTGGAGTTACTATTGTCCAGATCTAGCAAACAGCCTACAGAGAGAAAGAGAGAAACTTGTGTGTTCAATGTTAACTGTTCATTTGTGATTGTTTATTTCACTTGCTTTGTCAATGTTAACATATGTTTCCCATGCCAATTAAGCCCCTTTGAATTTAATTGAGAGAATGAGAGAGAGAGAGAGAGAGAATAAACAATCAAAGCTACCAAATAAAAGCTTTATTTAGCTATAGAGAAAAGTTTATCAAGGCTTTATTGAGAGTTTTAACTGCTGTACCCATCACTGAGCCTCCTGTTTGAGGCACTGTGTTGTGATTGGAGAAGGTAGAGGAAGGAGGAGGAGCTATCTTTCCTTTCGGTGGTGGCGGTAGAAGACCAAACCCACCTGCCCCCTGTGGGCGTGGCTTACCCCTTTTTTTGCCTTGCTGGAAGAGAGAAAGATTGATAGAGAAAACATTTCAATTGGAATGCTGAAGAAACATTGGGTGTTGGGGAAAAATCTAATGGCCAATCCCAAACAGACCCCAGGGGCATGGGCTATGATTTTGTAATAACATTTCTATAAGAATTATCTAGTTTAATTGTGCCAGGTCTTTACCCCAATATTAAGGGTGATGGTTTGTCCTTCTTTAAATCCCAAGTCCAGTTTTGGTCCCGAAGCTGCCCCCTGAGGGTTTTTGCTGATCTCATTCTCTTGTTTCACCCACCTGTCACACACACACACACACACACAAACACACACAATATCAACTTAATATGCACTGACACTGGAAAAAGCAATGTCACATCAGTTGTTTTGGAAACTGCAATATCTGGAACAAGCTTACTCAATGACACTTAGTTTTGGCTGGCAGTTTATGCTGCAGACAGACCAAAGTAGGTGTGTTCGTTATTAGTGGGAACAAGTGAAGCACCAGTGTTTGAGTGCCTTAACAGTCACACTGTTCCTGGTGTGACCCCTTCCATCACTTACTTAAAGTGGTCCTGCAAAGACACGTTGAAGTCAAAAGAGTCCCCTCTGTCCCCGAATCCAACACCAATGAACGCACTGCGGCCTGCGAGAGTAGGTTGACATAGCTGTATGAGTGCATTGGCATGTCAGTGTATTGTGAGTTGACATTTAAGGAGAGCTGACAAATTCTATTGGGACCCGAGACAGGATGTTGACATAGACTGATGAAAGTACTATAACCTGCTAAAGGAAGCTGACATAACACTATATGACCAGTGTAAAAGTCTGAAAGCTATGGACATACAGGGAGGGGCTTTCACTCATATATACACACCATTGCCATCCTGTATTCGCAGGACAAAGTAGCGACTGGAGTCGCTTACGGTTTCAACTGCGATGCCGGGATACTCTGTGACAGGGGCCTGGGCGAACAGCTCCCCTGCAGGATGGGAGGAGAAAAACACATATCATCATAATAATAAACCACATAGATAAACTGTATAAATTCATTTTACTGGCTACATTGAAAGGGTCCCTGATGAGCAATGCTGGGACAAAGGGGCACCTGTGCAACACACACACACAGTTTCATGACTCTCTCACCTGAGACTTTGTCTTCCAGTTTGATGTAGGCCACTTTCCCCTTGGCCGTGATCCGCATGCGCCCTGACCAATCGGGCACATCCAGCTTCCAGTCTGCTGCCCTACAGGAAATACCCAGGTCAGAAGTAGCCAATAATATAATAATGATAATAATAATAATATGCCATTTCGCAGACGCTTTTATCCAAAGCGACTTACAGTCATGTGTGCATACATTTTTACGTATGGGTGGTCCCGGGGATCGAACCCACTACCCTGGCGTTACAAGCGCCATGCTCTACCAATTGAGCTACAGAGCTACAGAGGACCAGAAAGTACAGCAAAACAGAAAGTACATCATAAGGTTAGTAAACAGTGCCTATTTAAACTGTTCACAGACCAGCTTTTGTAACAAATAGTACTGTATAATATGGAGATAATCTGAATTGACCCAATTGTCTTGTTCTTATAATGCCTGAAGGCTGTTTTAAGACTATTATTAAGATCACAAACCCCAATTAATAACACATCAGCTAATCTATGGTCTTAGAGAATCTCAATTAAAACCATTTAGCCTACAGTTAACTGGGCCACACACATATAGGCCAGACTGAAAACAGTAATCTGATTAAACTACTTTTATTTCTCCCTGGCAGCTGGCACTGCTTGTTTCAGCTGTCGTTAATAGACAATGGTTTCATTATTTGAGCAATTCTGTAATACATGTTACTATCATAATAACACTGGCGTAGAATGATCGGTAGCCTTGGCCAGTATTATACGCCAAAGGACATAGGGCAATTTATCACTTATAACATTTTCTGTCAATGCATTATGCCAATACATTTTCTGGGTAAACTATGCTGATGAACAACACACGCAAATAGACATATCATGCCATTCACTGTCGATTCATCCGTACTGATAGTGCCAGCTTTGCGAGTATAACATCAATATTGCCAATAGGGCAGAATAATGAATGACTCATAGGCCTAAACAAAACAAATATTGGACACACATCGACTGCTGTAAACATCCTCTGAGCGAACATAGATATAGGCACACGCACACACATTACGCAGCACTATGACCACAGATAGAACCACCCGCACCGCGCTTTTTGTCCAACACCCCCAAAACGGGCCAAACCCCTTGCATTTACCTGTATCCACGATTTGTAGCCCTCGGTGGTATGCGATAAACATTGATGTCGGGTTTAACGCATAGGATCGACTCATATTCGCCTTCGGTCGCCATTTATGTAAATTGTATTGATGACGTGTGGCGTATTTATCGGTCCTTTCGGTTTTTGCGAGTGGCCTATACACTCACAAGCCACGAGACGGCGATGATGTGACGGGGATTCCAGAGCAGAGTTTGTACAGTCGTGGTCAAAAGTTTTGAAAATGACCCAAATACTAATTTTCACAAAGTCTGCTGCCTCAGTTTTGATGATGGCATTTTGCATATACTCCAGAATGTCATGAAGAGTGATCAGATGAATTGAAAATAATTGCAAAGTCCCTCTTTGCCATGAAAATGAACTTAATCCCCAAAAAACATTTCCACTGCATTTCAGCCCTGCCACAAAAGGACCAGCTGCCATCATGTCAGTGATTCTCTCATTAACACAGGTGATAGTGTTGACGAGGACAAGGCTGGAGATCACTCTGTCATGCTGATTGAGTTAGAATAACAGACTGGAAGCTTTAAAAGGAGGGTGGTGCTTGAAATCATTGTTCTTCCTCTGTTAACCATGGTTACTTGCAAGGAAACATGTGCCGTCATCATTGCTTTGTACAAAAAGGGCTTCACAGGCAAGGATATTGCTGCTAGTAAGATTGCACCTAAATCAACCATTTATCGGATCATCAAGAACTTCAAGGAGAGAGGTTCAATTGTTGTGAAGAAGGCGTCAGGGCGCCCAAGAAAGTCCAGGAAGCGCCAGGACCGTCTCCTAAAGTTGATTCAACTGCGGGATCGGGGCACCACCAGTGCAGAGCTTGCTCAGGAATGGCAGCAGGCAGGTGTGAGTGCATCTGCACGTACAGTGAGGCAAAGACTTTTGGAGGATGGCCTGGTGTCAAGAAGGGCAGCAAAGAAGACACTTCTCTCCAGGAAAAACATCAGGGACATACTGATATTCTGCAAAAGGTACAGGGATTAGACTGCTGAGGACTGGGGTAAAGTCATTTTCTCTGATGAATCCCCTTTCCGATTGTTTGGGACATCCGGAAAACACCTTGTCCGGAGAACACAAGGTGAGCGCTACCATCAGTCCTGTGTCATGCCAACAGTAAAGCATCCTGAGACCATTCATGTGTGGGGTTGCTTCTCAGCCAAGGGAGTGGGCTCACTCACAATTTTGCCTAAGAACACAGCCATGAGTAAAGAATGGTACCAACACATCCTCCGAGAGCAACTTCTCCCAACCATCCAAGAACAGTTTGGTGACGACCAATGCCTTTTCCAGCATGATGGAGCACCTTGCCATAAGGAAAAAGTGATAACTAAGTGACTTGGGGAACAAAACATCGACATTTTGGGTCCATTTACATTTTTACATTTTAGTCATTTAGCAGACGCTCTTATCCAGAGCGACTTACAGTTAGTGAGTGCATACATTTTCATACTGGTCCATGGCCAGGAAACTCCCCAGACCTTAATCCCATTGAGAACTTGTGGTCAATCCTCGAGGCGGGTGGACAAACAAAAACCCACAAATTCTGACAAACTCCAAGCATTGATTATGCAAGAATGGGCTGCCATCAGTCAGGATGTGGCCCAGAAGTTAATTGACAGCATGCCAGGGCGGATTGCAAAGGTCTTGAAAAAGAAGGGTCAACACTGCAAATATTGACTCTTTGCATAAACTTAATGTAATTGTCAATAAAAGCCTTTGACACTTATGGAATGCTTGTAATTATACTTCAGTATACCATAGTAACATCTGACAAAAAATATCTCATAACACTGAAGCAGCGAACTTTGTGAAGACCAATACTTGTGTCATTCTCAAAACTTTTGACCACGACTGTACTCCAGGATGCATTGACCCTGAGCACATCCCCCAATGTTACAAGGCAGCATACCCCTTCCAATAATATCTATAGTATACTTAGATGTGTAACTCTAGATGGCATTGGTAACCAAGGCAAACAGCTGTTTATGTATACGTTTGAGACCCCGAAAATGCTCTGTAAACACATAGCCTACCTTATGAGAAACAGGCAAGACTGCTCCCAAGAATAAGCAGTTAATTTGTTGAAAAACAAAGAAACAAACAGAGTCCTTTGTTTCCCTCTTAATAAAGACACTGTTACATTTTTACTGTTACATAATTTTATTGACAACAATGTAGCCTAACATCCACGTGATTATTAAGTAGGGGGAGTGGTCTTTTAGACAGGTCAGGTGCGGATTGCAGAAGGAAGCAGAAATTGTAGTTCTTTGCAGATCTCTGAAAGCATCTGGAAGGTTCGTATTCCTTTGAAATACATGCAGAATCATATGAATAAATGGGTGCTCAATGGAAGTATGTTATTTTAAAGGTGTCAGTTGTCCTTAGAAGTAGACCAAAGCTATATTTTCAAAGCTGTCATCAGACGGCTGTCATTGATAACTAACTGCTAAAGCTTGCTTGAAAACAACATTCGACAGCCATGAAGATGCACTGACGTTGGCTAGCTACGGTCGCTGTCCATGGTGCTGAATCGTGATGCAGCTAGTAGCTGGATTTGTACTGTATATCGCAACTAGCGTTCTTGACAAGACGAAAATGGCCAAATAGCATGCCAAATCGACAATAGCCTACTCAGGTGCATAGCTAATCCGTAGCACTGCAGAGCCTCGATTTATCGCCATAGCATTGGCATTGCAGGATGCTAGCTAGCTAGCCACAGAGCTAGCTTAGCTTTTTGCTAACATGAATGGTGTTGATTTGGTCGCAATCATGACGAGGTCTAGTTTCTAGGCTGCCTTCGGCATTTTCTGTTTGGCATTTACATTAGAAAAAGACAAACAATTTGTTGCCCAATGGCATGCCAATGTGAAGTAGCTTCTTCACTAGCCTAGCTATGTCATTGCTTTGCTCCCTTTTAGGATAATTTTCCCAGATCTGTGTGTGCTGGGACCCAATGTCATTGTGGAGAGAGAGACTAACAGAATGAGCATCCAGTGAGCCAGTGAGACCAGATCGAAAGATAGACTCACTTCTTTGACATCACCCACAATCAGTTTTATTTCAATAGGTAAGGAGATGTAGCTATAAGCAGCCTGATTTGGGCTAAGTGCCAAGCAGCTTCTCCTGTGTTGATACCTGCCATTATGTGAGGCGAGACAGAAGCATAATTAATATACGAGTGAAAGCTCAGTGTGTTTCCGTTGACTGTGTGTGTGTGTGTGTGTGTGTGTACATGCTCTTACTAGTCTTTATACTCACTAGGTCCTTGTGGTTTGAGACACCCCATTAGACATCATGACATCCTCTATGCTACGCCGACAATTGAAGAACCTCGTTCAGAACTTCTCTGAGGCTGAGGTCAAGGTAAAGGAGATGATTTACTTTACCCCCTCACCCATCTTGTCTTTGACCCCTCTCCTTTTCCCCCTTTCCATTTCCCTTCACTCTCACTCACTCCTTCTCCTGTTCCCTCTTTTCTTGCTCTCTGTCCTGTGTTCTCTTTTTTCTCTCTTGATTTGTCTCATCTTCCCCTCACTCTCTGCCACTCTACATGCTTCCCTTCATCTTGACTCTATCCCCGTCTTTCTCCCCTTCTTGATGTTGTACCCAGGTTGGACAATTTTACCTTGCAATTTTACACCGGCCCGGTGTGGGTTCAGGCTTTTGTGCCAGCCAATTAGTTGCACAACTGATTTAACTGATCACAGTCTTGGATCAAGGCTTTCATTTAGTAGAATCAAGCTAGTACTGCTTGGCTGGGGCAAAAGCCTGCATCCACACTGGCCCTTGCAGGGTAAGATTGGTCACCCCTGCTGTTCAGTTGACACAGTCAGCATTCCAAAACACCGTTGCAGCATCCTTCTAAAATAAGACACTCTCTGTAGCAGAGCATGAGTCAGTACCAGTATTTCCCCTACAAGTATATACAGTAGTACAAGTTTGGTGCCAGAAGGCGTGGATGCTTTGGGAGCCTTTGTTCTCCGTCTGGAAAGTAAGCCGTGTTAATACTACTGTATGTCTGTCAGGTGAGGGAGGCCACCTCCAACGACCCATGGGGCCCCTCCAGCTCGCAGATGGCCGACATCTCGGACCTCACTTACAATGTGGTGGCCTGCAATGAGATCATGACCATGCTGTGGAAACGGCTCAAAGACGACAAGAACTGGAGGCACATCTACAAGGTGAGGCCAAAGGGAAATAATCACGCATCGATTTATAGTTCTAAAGATTTAGATAGATTGTGTATAAAATAATCTATACAGATGTACATCTACTCATCAAAGATCAAAGTTGTTCTTACTGTATGGATCAGTGGCTGTATGCATTCTTTATTCTGAAACTTTATTATAGTTGATGAGCGAGCCCAAGTTGCTTGAATAGCCTGCTGAACAGCTCAGTTCATCAACCAGTGCTGGATGGAACAATACCTCTCTCTTTTTCCATCACATCAAATCATTTATCTGGTCTTTGGGGGAACAATACCTCTCTCTTATTCCGTTATAAAGTTAAGTTAGTGGTATCACTCACTCGAGTGTGGGTACCTTTCAGAGATGTCAGTGTCGATATCAAGCCTTTTGTATATGAATGGTGCTTTTTTATTTCTGTTTAGTCCATGCTTCCTGTACTATTATTTTCTGTTATTCAGGTTGGTTGGTGGTTTTTTAAAGAGGTTTGTAAAACTGTAGCCCATACAGTGCATTCGGAAAGTATTCGGACCTCTTGACTTTATCCACATTTTGGTATTTTACAGCCTTATTCTAAAATTGAATACATTGTTTCTTTTCCTCATCAATCTACACACAATACCCCATAATGACAAAGCAAAAACAGGTTTTTAGAAATGTTTGCAAATGTATTAAAAATAAAAAACTGAAATAACACATTTTACATAAGTATTCAGACCCTTTACTCCAGGGTTCCCCAACTGGCGTCCCTGGTTTTATTTGGTTTTATTTTGTTTCATTGTAGGACAAAAGACTGTAAAAACAGCAGGAAATCAGCTCCAAGTGATTTCAATTTAAGAAATCTGTTCCCAAGTATTCCCACGCATAACACGTGATTGTATACAAATGTAAGCAAGGTTTGAAATGATTGTTTTATGCTGACATTATACTGTATCTGTTTGGGCTTCTTGCGGTCAATTTGCAGTCTATAAATTATTTGTAATTGTGTTCCGGCCCCCTCACCATCCGCTCAAGAACAAATCGGCCCGCGGCTGTATCTAGTTGATGATCCCTGCTTTACTCAGTACTTTGTTGAAGCACCTTTGGTAGCGATTACAGCCTCGAGTCTTCTTGGGTATGACGCTACAAGCTTGGCACACCTGTATTTGGGGAGTTTCTCCCATTCTTCTCTGCAGATCCTCTCAAGCTCTATCAGGTTGTATGGGGAGCATCGCTGCACAACTATTTTCAGGTATCTCCAGAGATGTTCGATCTAAAGGACATTCAGAGACTTGTCTTGGCTGTGTGCTTAGGGTCGTTGTCCTTTTGGAAGGTGAACCTTCGCCCCAGTCTGAGGTCCTAAGCGCTCTGGAGCAGGTTTTCATCAAGGATTTCTCTGTACTTTGCTCTGTTCATCTTTCCCTCGATCCTGACTAGTCTCCCAGTCCCTGCCGCTGAAAAACATCCCCACAGCATCATGATGCTGCCACCACCATGCTTCACCGTAGGGATGGTGCCAGGTTTCCTCCAGATGTTACGCTTGGCATTCAGGCCAAATAGTTCATTCTTGGTTTCATCAGACCAGAGAATCTTGTTTCTCATGGTCTGAGAGTCCTTTAGGTGCCTCTTGGCAAACTCCAAGCGGGCTGTCATGTGCCTTTTACTGGGGAGTGACTTCCATCTGGCCACACTACTATAAAGGCCTGATTGGTGGAGTGCTGCAGAGATGGTTGTCCTTCTGGAAGGTTCTCCCATCTCCACAGAGGAACTCTGGAGCTCTGTCAGAGTGACCATCAGGTTCTTGGTCACCTCCCTGACCAAGGCCCTTCTCCCCCGATTGCTCAGTTTGGCCGGGCGGCCAGCTCTAGGAAGAGTCTTGGTGGTTCCAAACTTCTTCCATTTAAGTATGATAGATGCCACTGTGTTCCTTCAATGCGACAGACATTTTTTGGTACCCCTCCCCAGATCTGTGCCTCGACACAATCCTGTCTCGGAGCTCTACGGACAATTCCTTCGACCTCATGGCTTGGTTTTTGCTCTGACATGCACTGTCAACTGTGGACCTTATATAGACATTTACCACAGGTGGACTCCAATGAAATTGTAGAAACTTCTCAAGGATGATCAATGGAAACAGGATGCACCTGAGCTCAATTTCGAGTCTCGTAGCAAAGGGTCTGAAAATTTATGTAAATAAGGTATTTCAGTTTTTTATTTGTAATAAATTAGCAAACATTTAATTATGGGTTATTGTAGATTGATGAGGAAATGTTTTTAGTTAATCCGTTTTAGAATAAGGCTGTAACGTAACAGAATGTGGAAAAAGGGAAGGGGTCTGAATACTTTCTGAATGCACTGTATATTTTAAAAACCATTATTCCTCTTACTGTGAAAAGATTATCTTTATATTATTTGACACTTTCTTCTTCGTGTTGTTTCTATTGCCACAAATCAAATATACAAATAAATGTCCTCCACAGGATTTACAGTGGGGAAAAAAAGTATTTAGTCAGCCACCAATTGTGCAAGTTCTCCCACTTAAAAAGATGAGAGAGGCCTGTAATTTTCATTATAGGTACACGTCAACTATGACAGACAAAATGAGAGAAAAAATTCCAGAAAATCACATTGTAGGATTTGTAATGAATTTATTTGCAAATTATGGTGGAAAATAAGTATTTGGTCACCTACAAACAAGCAAGATTTCTGGCTCTCACAGACCTGTAACTTCTTCTTTAAGAGGCTCCTCTGTCCTCCACTCGTTACCTGTATTAATGGCACCTGTTTGAACTTGTTATCAGTATAAAAGACACCTGTCCACAACCTCTAACAGTCACACTCCAAACTCCACTATGGCCAAGACCAAAGAGCTGTCAAAGGACACCAGAAACAAAATTGTAGACCTGCACCAGGCTGGGAAGACTGAATCTGCAATAGGTAAGCAGCTTGGTTTGAAGAAATCAACTGTGGGAGCAATTATTAGGAAATGGAAGACATACAAGACCACTGATAATCTCCCTCGATCTGGGGCTCCACGCAAGATCTCACCCCGTGGGGTCAAAATGATCACAAGAACGGTGAGCAAAAATCCCAGAACCACACGGGGGGACCTAGTGAATGACCTGCAGAGAGCTGGGACCAAAGTAACAAAGCCTACCATCAGTAACACACTACGCCGCCAGGGACTCAAATCCTGCAGTGCCAGACGTGTCCCCCTGCTTAAGCCAGTACATGTCCAGGCCCGTCTGAAGTTTGCTAGAGTGCATTTGGATGATCCAGAAGAGGATTGGGAGAATGTCATATGGTCAGATGAAACCAAAATAGAACTTTTTGGTAAAAACTCAACTCGTCGTGTTTGGAGGACAAAGAATGCTGAGTTGCATCCAAAGAACACCATACCTACTGTGAAGCATGGGGGTGGAAATATCATGCTTTGGGGCTGTTTTTCTGCAAAGGGACCAGGACAACTGATCCGTGTAAAGGAAAGAATGAATGGGGCCATGTATCGTGAGATTTTGAGTGAAAACCTCCTTCCATCAGCAAGGGCATTGAAGATAAAACGTGGCTGGGTCTTTCAGCATGACAATGATCCCAAACACACCGCCCGGGCAACGAAGGAGTGGCTTCGTAAGAAGCATTTCAAGGTCCTGGAGTGGCCTAGCCAGTCTCCAGATCTCAACCCCATAGAAAATCTTTGGAGGGAGTTGAAAGTCCGTGTTGCCCAGCGAGAGCCCCAAAACATCACTGCTCTAGAGGAGATCTGCATGGAGGAATGGGCCAAAATACCAGCAACAGTGTGTGAAAACCTTGTGAAGACTTACAGAAAACGTTTGACCTGTGTCATTGCCAACAAAGGGTATATAACAAAGTATTGAGAAACTTTTGTTATTGACCAAATACTTATTTTCCACCATAATTTGCAAATAAATTCATTAAAAAATCCTACAATGTGATTTTCTGGATTTCTTTTCTCATTTTGTCTGTCATAGTTGACGTGTACCTATGATGAAAATTACAGGCCTCTCTCATCTTTTTAAGTGGGAGAACTTGCACAATTGGTGGCTGACTAAATACTTTTTTTCCCCACTGTTTATTGGCATGGAAAATATATACAGTATGTATGGTAATCTTTCTCAACTTTTACAATCTGCTTGTAATTTCATAACAACCCTCCCATCTTCACCATATTTTTCTGGCATACCTTGGATTTCACTATGGTGTCATCTTAACTTTTTATGAATTATGTATTTGTCTGCTGATCATTGCTCCATGCAGTGATTAAGTTGCAGAGTGTTTTTAAGGAGCAGGTGATGCTCATCTGGATCCCCCATTTTGTTTTTCTCCCATCCCCCAACTGCAGTCATTGACTCTGCTGGAGAACCTATTAAAGACAGGCTCAGACCGCGTTCTGAATACAATGAAGGACAACATCTACATTGTGAAAGCGCTAACAGAGTTCCGTTTCCAGGACAAGGATGGGAAAGATCAGGTACTAAAGCTTGCTAAATGCATGTTTGTCCCACCAACTCCTCTAATATGCAGGAACCATCTCCAAAGTACTATCTTTGAAGCCTCCCCACTTGAGAAGTTCACTGTGAGCTAATTTATGTATGAATAATTAACATTAGCATAACTTTATGATTAGTACATTCAGAAAATCTCCAGTGAAAGGGCTTTGTAGAACAGGAATAGGCTTAAACTGGGCCGGGAAACCAGTCCAATAAGTCATTGAGGCTTGAGATATCTGGCTGTACTAACAACTAAGCTAACACATTGCTTTGCTTTGCCATGCATACACTGATCACTTGAGCTTTACCTTGCTAATTCTTCACAGTTACATTTAGGGAGCACCATGCTTCAGAGAGAGAGAGCTGCCTAGCAGTACTAATGATGTCTGCTTATGCTATCCTTCACAGGGGGTGAACGTGAGGGAGAAGGCCAAGGTAGTACTGGTTCTTATGGAGGACGACGATAAACTAAAGGAAGAGCGAGAGTTTGCACTCAAGACCAGAGACAAGATCTCAAAGAACGCCACTGGTGAGCATTAGAGAGAACACCAAACATTTGAGAGACTTTTAAAAATGTCATTTGACCATTTCCCTTAAAACATTATTGGAAAATCCCCACAGTAAAGAATAAGCCATTTCCTGAATTGAAAACTGAATTGACCCCAACTCTGCTTGCCATAATAATGTATCTCATCATGCTATACCATATCTTATCGTGCTCTTTCCACAGCCTCCTCAGACAGCCCCAACGACCCCAAGGACCCCAACTACAAGCCAGTGTATGTCCCAGGAGCCACCGGGCTCCCCTCCCTGGCCAACATCCCGTCTGTGGCTGACCTTGCAGCCAGCTTTGAGGCCAAGAAGCAAGAAAAACTGAGACTAGAGGCCCAGAAAAAAGAGGAGGAACGAAGGGTAAGTATTACACCTCAATAGTCCGATTTCTCCCTTTTATTTAGACTTTCAAAGGCGCCTTCAGTAAATGATTGTACCCTTAGGACATTTTGGATCATCTACCAAATATCATGTCTGGCATCATGATTGGCCAATCTCTTATGTAATTGCAGTCAAAGATGACCAAGGAAGAGCTTGAATGGGAGGATGCCGCCAAAGCAGGAAAGCCTAAGGTTGTTGACGCATTTGGCGGGGCAGATGAACCATCAGAGGAGGATGCATGGGGTGCAGCAGCCAAAGCACCCGCTCCTGATCCTTGGGGGGGTGCATCTAAAGCTCCATCCGAGGATGCATGGGGTGGATCATCCAAAGCTCCATCCGAGGATGCATGGGGCGGATCATCCAAAGCTCCATCCGAGGATGCATGGGGCGGATCATCCAAAGCTCCATCCGAGGATGCATGGGGTGCACCATCTAATGCTACAACAGAAGAAGCAGATCCTTTTGCGGCGCCAGCCAGAGCCCCAACAGATGGTTCAGATCCTTTTGCGGCTCCAAAAGATGGTTCCGATCCATTTTCGGCACCATCCAATGTACCATCTAAAGTTGAAGCTGATCCGTTTGGGGCACCAAAAGATGATCCTTTTTCAGCACCATCCAATAAACCAAAAGGTGGTTCTGATCTGTTTAGGGCACCAAAAGATGATCCATTTTCAGCACCATCCAATACACCAAAAGATGGAGCCGATCCGTTTGGGTCACCAAAAGAGGATCCATTTTCGGCACCATCCAATAAACCAAAAGGTGGTTCTGATCTGTTTAGGGCACCAAAAGATGATCCATTTTCAGCACCATCCAATACACCAAAAGATGGAGCCGATCCGTTTGGGTCACCAAAAGAGGATCCATTTTCGGCACCATCCAATATGCCAAAAGATTGTTCAGATCTCTTTGGGGCACCAAAAGACGATTCTGGTCCTTTTGGTGCCCCATTGAATGTCCCAACGAAGGGTGCTGATCCTTTTAGGGCACCAGCCGGCCCACCAACCGAGGCTTCAGACGCGTGGGGTGCTCCATCCAATCCAGTGTCCGAAAAGAAGGCTGATCCCTGGGGAGATGAGGGGACCACAACTGCCTCTCCCCCCACAGATCCATTTGACGATGGCTCGAAGGCTGATGATGACGCATGGGGACCAACAGGTAAGCAGTGATAGTTATAATCTTGTGACATCATCACATTTGCTCTTAATTCAGATTTTTGACTCAATCCTTAGGTTAAATACATGATAGAAAATGTATATACGGTCATTTTAAGATGTAGAGCACAATTTCGATATTCAAAATGTTCGTTGGAGTTCCCCTTTAAATCGGTTTAACCCCACCGCCTTTACTCCAGCATCGACCCCGCCCACCGCCAGTGACCCTTGGGGTGCACCTGCAGCTCCCACAGACACAGCATCCACAGACGACCCCTGGGGAGATGGAGGGGCTTCCACCACTACAGACGCTATGAACTCTGACCCATGGGGAGCTCCATGTAATGGCACAGGTAATGTATGCTTCCTCAAGGCTGTTGCCTCCAAGCTCTGAGGAAGGCGTCTGACACGCCTCAATGTAAGCCTGTCTGTTTGTCCCGTCAATAAACCTTAAACATCTTTGCATGCAGACATCTGAGTGTTCCGTTTTCTTTTTCTGGGATAGTCGGCAATTGAAGTGCCCTGGGGTAAGATGTTTTTTTGGATTCCTAAGTCCCTTTGTTGAGCACCGTATTCCATTTTTTCAGTCAAGTTGGGCTAAAGAGCGTCAGGGTACGCTCACAGATTCCAGTAATGTGTTTGTTTGTGTGTTAGCACTCCACCTGTCTTCCCTCTATGTCTGTGTCTCCAACACTATACTTAACACATCCTCGTCTTCATATATCTTCATGATATACAATAATATTGTAATATCGTGATAATGTTGTAATATTGCACAGGCCTAATTTCCTCTCTCTCTACAGACAATGGAGCCACAGTGGACGAAGACAACAAATCGCCAGCTTCATTCCTTGGTGCCGGAGATTCGCTCGTGGACGTGGACTCACTCCTCTCCCCCAAACCCAAACAACCCCCCCTCGCCAAGTAATAAAGTAAGGACGGGTAAACAAAAGAGAGACCAGACCGTGAGAGAGATAGACAGAGAGAACCAGAGAGTGAATATGAGAAGTATATTTATCCGTTCATTTAAAGCAGTGTTTGTGATTCAGTGTTTTGACTAGACCTTCCTCCCCCTATAGTGCATAACTGTTGTGTGGGTCAGCATCGGTAGTTGTAGCCATGCATAGAATTTAGAGATGTAACCTTTTCACTCGTCTCTCTGTTCTACACTCTCTCTTGGAATGCTCTGTACTGTATATCCCTCCTCCTTCCTTTGCCCCATTTATTTAGCTTTTCCTAATTTCCCAGGCGTTCTACAAGGCCCAGGCATGGCTGGCCCTATGGGCAGAGTCACATCCATTGCTGGGGTGTCTCGTACTACAATCCCTCCAAACTCCAGCCTTTTTGGTTCCACCCCTATGTCCTAAGGTGTTACCCGCCCCAGGTTTGGGTCCCCCAACCCCCTGCTGGGGCCTCATTTATCCCAACTATCCTCCCATTCCCTGGGAATGCCTCATCCTGGCATGGCTATGCCTGCAATGGGACCTCAGATGGCACCCCCCTGTTTTGGAGCTGGGATGGTACAACCCAATTGTCTGGGAGGGATTCATGCAGGACACTCTGCAGTGGCCCACTTGGGAGCTTCCACTCCTCCAATGGGAAGGGGGGTCCCTTTGCAGCCACACATGGTTTTGGACACCGGGATGGGAGAGCCTTCTCAACGGAACAACAATCCTTTCCTTTTTTGAAAAGCTACAACCTGTCCAGCTCCCCTTCCTCAACCCCAATATCTACAATGGTTAATATAATGTACATGTCCAATTTAAGTGTATGTAAGAAATGAAACAAGACAACATATAAGTATTTCAAAATTATTTTTCTTGGAAAAACATTCAATTTTGGTTGATTCGATGTTCATTTAGGTTCTTTCAAGAGTGGGAAGCTGAGAGGGGGCCATAGGAGTTAGTTCCATTTAGTCCTTGTGTGATTTTGTTCTTGTGCTGTTCTTTTTCAATTAGACTGGTTATTATCAATGCTCTCCTTCTCTATGTTTGACTCATAAGGCTCTGAGAAAGGTGGATGGAGGGTTAAGAAGACCTGATTAATCATTACAGTAGCCTACAATGGAACATGTACCCATAAAGAACAGAATGGAAGTAGAGCCGCTATCAGGAGGTGTGTGTGTGTGTGTGTGTGTGTGTGTGTGTGTGTGTGTGTGTGTGTGTGTGTGTGTGTGTGTGTGTGTGTGTGTGAAGATGAGGTGAGATCCTTGAGCAAAAGTAACCATAGCACAACAGTAACTTTGTAGTGATTTTTTAAAAGTATGATTATATTTATTTATTCATTTACTTATTAGCCTATTTACTGTATTTATTAATTATATTATTTGCTTATTTCTTGAACACTTGCCCTCCAACAGATACTTTCGAAACAAACTAGAGCCATATTCAAATTCACTCATATCACATTACTGACAGCAAGCATCAAAGTTGTCATTGTCCTGTGGGTTTCTTGAGTTGAACAGTGTTGGAAACGGTCATATCCAATTGGATAGAACCCTAATCATCCACATTATCATCCAATAACCAATAGTGGCTTTATTTCCCTTTTATCATTTTATACACATTTATGTCTACTGGGTGGCAGGTAGCTTAGTGGGTAAGAGCGTTGTGCCAGTAACTGAAAGGTCGCTGGTTCTAATCCCCGAGCTGACTAGGTGAAAAATCTGTCTGTGCCCTTAAGCAAGGCACTTAACCCTAATTGCTCTGGATAAGAGTGTCTGCTAAATGACTAAAATGTACTCATTTACCTATGTTCAGGAACGAACACATTGTATACAAATCAAAGCTGAATTTATCACATCCCTTTTTTCTGTCCTGTGTATGTTGTTGAAAGGCTTTTTGTCAAATATTTGTATTGAAAGACAGCATTCCATGCATACAGTATTGTTATGTTTATCTATTCAGTGAGTTTTCATCATCAGGCCTATGAATCCTATGGGATGCATGTCATATTATTATTCTGTATTTTGCATTTTGTCTTTGGCCTCAAACAAAACAGTTGAAATACAACAAGACAGTGCACAAAATGTGAAGCGAAATGAAAAATGGACTGGAAGTCACAACATTAATTTATCTGAATCGTAGTTTAAAAGGATTAGTATTGTTACGATAGTACATTTTGTCGTAGCTACTATTATAATTTAATTTTGTATGATAAATACTTTTTTATTTATGTCAAGGCTGTGGTGTAAACTGTGACAGTACACATTTGAGAAATAAAATTATTCAATACTTGAGATCTCAGATCTGACTCCCATATGGACAAATTCTCTCTTTTTGTTGGCATTTCTTATTTTAGGTGTCTATATCAATGCCTGTTATCTCTTTGAATGAGGCACATTGTCTATGCTCACTCAACATGTGTCTCAATCAACATCATAGTGATGGTCCCTATTACAAATGGCCACATGAGGGCTGGTGAAACATCGGTCACTACAGTCACTCCAGATCAGTGTTATATCTCCCTTTTTTAGTTTGCACATACATGCATGTGCACCACTATACTAAAACCAAATGTCAATAATTTTTCATTCAGGTGCTCACTTCACTCTTTCAACTCCTCTCCAAAATCGTGATGATTCAAACTAATTTGTGGACATAATTTGAGGAACAGCTGTTTGACGGGGAGTGAATCTAAACGGAGTGGTGATTGCTTGGTCGAAGGAAAATTGGGTGGATCAGAGCTGATGAGTGTACTACATAACTTGAACCCTCCAAATGACCGGATGAAAGTGAGGCTCGGCGCGCATACTGTACATTATCTAATTCCACTCCTCATTCTGAGTACTCATTCTGAGTATGGAATGACCTTTGGAAAGAGGGGCGGTGACTCATCATCCGGGTCAAAATGGGGATTCCCCGGAGACAAACAGATACATAGTATAGTACAACACATGACCCTTAATCAATATGTAGGGAACTACAACGTAGGATCATGGATTTGCCTAAAGTGGAGCGTAAGAAAGGGTGGGAGAGAGAGAGGGAGAGAGAATGTGACGATGAATGGATAGATATAGGGAGCAAAGGGAGAGACAGTAACAGATGGGTTTGTGAGGATTAAGTGAAATCTGGGTGGGTTTGTGATAGAAACTCACCCAAGAAAGGCAGGATAGTGAGGGAGAGAGAGGGAGAAAAGGTGAAGAAAGTTAATCTGGTAGAGAGGACGGTGTGTAGAGGGTCGATGTCTCTGAAGGGCTTGTATGGTATGTTTTTTTGCTTCTTTAATTTCAGTGTCATTTTTGAGCTTCATTCATTCACAAACATCCGTTCGGTAACTTTAATGCATGTATAGTACAACCGTATGAGTGGACAAGGACTCAATGGAAAGCCCAGCGATATGCAGCGCATAGAGAAAATACAACTGGTATGGCAATTTGAACTCATATCTAGGAAATGAAACTGCGTGTGCAATTGTGTGGCTGTGTCATATTTAATCATATTGCTGGACAATGGGGATAGGATATTTTATTTGGTTTACCCCTTAAATGGATGCGGTTCCTCGACTGCCGCAAATATTTTCCGGTTTCGAGTGTAGAATTTTTTTTTTATATATATATATTTTTAAAGAGTGCCGGAGTAGCTGGAGTTTATGTATGATACTCTTAGGAAGGAGAGATTGATTGACAGTTTGAAACCAACATTTTGTTGAAATGCTTAAAGATTTAAATAATTAGAAAATTGAAGCGCTTGTAATTTAATATTTTTTGGGAAATTTACAAAGTTTGAAGGATATTCCAAATGTTGGAATATTTTGGTATTATGCTGGGATAAATTAAATACCTGAGTCTGATTAGCTCCTGGTCTTACTGTAATGAGGAATCATCGCAGTCATTATTTTGCGCCGCAATTGACACACCAATCTGACAACACAGCATTACTCTCTTAGAAAAAAGGCTTCCAAAAAGGTTATTTGGCTGTCGTCTTTTTGATTACATTTGTATATTTTAGTCATTTAGCATAAGATCTTATCCATAGTCCAGGGTCCTACATGGAACCCAAAAAGGTTATTCAAAGGGGTTCTCCTATGGGCAGTGGTGTAAAGCCTACTTACGTAAAAATACTTCAAAGTACTACTTAAGGAGTTTTTTTGGGTTATCTGTACTTTACTTTACTATTTATGTTTTTGACAACTTTTACTTTTACTTCACTACATTCCTAAAGAAAATTATGTAATTTTTACTCCAAACATTTTCCCTGACACCCAAATGTACTCGTTACATTTTTAATGCTTAGCAGGACAGGAAAATGGTCCAATTCACGCACTTATCAAGAGAACACCTGGTCATCCCTACTGCCTCTGATCTGGCGGACTCACTAAACACAAATGCATCATTTGTAAATTATGTCTGAGCGTTGGAGTGTGCCCCAGGATATCTGTACATTTTTAAAGAATGGAAATGGTGCCATCTACTTTGCTTAAAATAAGGAATTTGAAATTATTTTTACTTTTACTTTTGATACTTATGTATATTTAGAACCAAATACTTTTAGACTTTTACTCAAGAAGTATTTTACTGGGAGACTTTAACTTTTATTGAGTAACTTTCTATTAAGGTATCTATACTTTTACTGAAGTATCACACTTGGGTACTTTTTCCACCAATGCCTACGAGGACAGCCGAATAACCATTTTAGGTTCTAGATATCACCTTTTTTTCTAAGAGTGTATAGTGGTAATGTATGCAGATAGTCTGATGCAGATGTTGCCAGATTAAATAAAAATACACAAACATTACATCTGTGATTCTGCTATCTTTGTCAGATTGCTATTTTACATAAAGACCATAACAACATAGATGGATTGATATTTCAATGATTATTCTCTAAAGCAGGGTTCCCCAAGTTTTCTGAGCAAAAAAAATAATAATAAAAAAAAATAAAGAATATATATATACTACCAGTCAAAAGTTTGGACACAGCTACTCATTCAAGGTTTTTTTACATTGTAGAATAATAGTGAAGACATCAAAACTATGAAATAACATATATGGAATCATGTAGTAACCAAAAAAGTGTTAAACATATCAAAATATATTTTATATTTGAGATTCTTCAAATAGCCACCCTTTGCCTTGATGACAGCTTTGCACACTCTTTTTTGCATTCTCTCAACCAGCTTCATGAGGTAGTCACCTGGAATGCATTTCAATTAACAAGTGTGCCTTGTTAAAAGTTCATTTGTGGAATTTCTTTCCTTCTTAATGCGTTTGAGCCAATCAATTGTGTTGTGACAAGGTAGGGGTGGTATACAGAAGATAGCCCTATTTGGTAAAATACCAAGTCCATATTATGTCAAGAACAGCTCAAATAAGCAAAGCGAAATGACAGTCCATCATTACTTTAAGACATGACGGTCAGTCAATACGGAACATTTCAAGAACTTTGAAAGTTTCTTCAAGTGCATTTGCAAAATCCATCAAGCGCTATGATGAAACTGGCTCTCATGAGGACCACCACAGGAATGGAAGACCTGGAGTCAGCTCTGCTGCAGAGGATAAGTTCATTAGAGTTACCAGCCTCAGAAATTGCAGCCCAAATAAATGCTTCAGAGTTCAAGTCACAGACACATCTCAACATCAACTGTTCAGAGGGGACTGTGTGAATCAGAAATTGATGCTCGAATTGCTGCAAAGAAACCACTACTAAAGGACACCAATAAGAAGAAGAGACCTGCTTGGGTCAAAAACACGAGCAATGGACATTACATTTACATTTACATTTTAGTCATTTAGCAGACGCTCTTAACCAGAGCGACTTACAGGAGCAATTAGGGTTAAGTGCCTTGCTCAAGGGCACATTAACGTCATTTAGCAGACGCTCTTAGCCAGAGCGACTCACAAATTGGTGCGTTCACCCTATAGCCAGTGGGATAACCACTTTACAATTTGGGGGGGGGGGGGGGGGGGGGGGGGGGGGGGGGTTAGAAGGAATACTTTATCCTATCCCAGGTATTCCTTAAAGAGGTGGGGTTTCAAATGTCTCCGGAAGGTGGTAAGTGACTCCGCTGTCCTGGCGTCGTGAGGAAGCTTGTTCCACCATTGGGGTGCCAGAGCAGCGAACAGTTTTGACTGGGCTGAGCGGGAGCTGTGCTTCCGCAGAGGAAGGGGAGCCAGCAGGCCAGAGGTGGATGAACGCAATGTCCTCGTTTGGGTGTAGGGACTGATCAGAGCCTGAAGGTACAGAGGTGCCGTTCCCCTCACTGCTCCATAGGCAAGCACCATGGTCTTGTAGCGGATGCGAGCTTCAACTGGAAGCCAGTGGAGTGTGCGGAGGAGGGGGGTGACGTGAGAGAACTTGGGAAGGTTGAACACCAGACGGGCTGCGGCATTCTGGATGAGTTGTAGGGGTTTAATGGCACAGGCAGGGAGCCCAGCCAACAGCGAGTTGCAGTAGTCCAGACGGGACATTAAACCGGTGGAAATGTGTCCTTTGGTCTGGAGTCCAAATTGGAGATTTTTGGTTCCAACTGCTGTGTCTTTGTGAGACGCGATGTGGGTGAACGGATGATCTCCGCATGTGTAGTTCCCACCGTAAAAAATAGAGGAGGAGGTGTTATTGTGTGGGGGTGTTTTGCTGGTGACACTGATTTATTTAGAATTCAAGGCACACTTAACCAGCATGGCTACCACAGCATTCTGCAGCGATACGCCATCCCATCTGGTTTGGGCTCAACAGGACAATGACCCAACACACCTCCAGGCTGTGTAAGGGCTATTTTACCAAGAAGGAGAGTGATTGAGTGCTGCATCAGATAACCTGGCCTCCACAATCCCCCGACCTCAACCCAATTGAGATGGTTTGTGATGAGTCGGACGGCAGAGTGAAGGAAAAGCAGCCAACAAGTGCTAAGCGTATGTGGGAACTCCTTCAAGACTGTTGCAAAAGCATTCCAGGTGAAGCTGGTTGAGAGAATGCCAAGAGTGTGCAAAGCTGTCATCAAGGCAAAGGTTGGCTATTTGAAGAATCTCAAATATAAAATATATTTAGATATGTTTAACACTTTTTTGGTTACTACATGATTCCATATGTGTTATTTCATAGTTTTGATGTCTTCACTATTATTCTACAATGTAGAAAATAGTAAAAATAAAGAAAAACCCTTGAATGAGTAGGTGTGTCCAAACTTTTGACTGGTACTGTATATACTTTTTGGTTTCGTTGTAGGACATAAAAGACTGTAAAAACACCAGGAAATCAGCTCCAAGTGATTTTCATTTAAGAAATCTGTTCCTAAGTATTCCCACGCATAATAGAGAGACACGTGATTGTAAACAAATGTCAGCAAGGTTTGAAAATATTTTTTTTTTGCAAACATTATACTGTATCTGTTTGGGCTTCTTGTGGTGAATTTGCAGTCTACACATGATTTGTAATTGTGTTCCAGCCCCCCGACAATCCGCTCAAGAACAAATCGGCCCGCGGCTGAATCTAGTTGATGATTCTTGCTCTAAAGTATCCAAAAATCAATCATGGAAACGAGACAGACATCAGAGGTGCGTTCAGTTCGCTTGAACGTTTGCTATGTTGCTGAACGGTTTTATACTGAACAACACATTTCCCCAAAACGTCCTTGAACAGAGTTTGAGGTATGTTTGCTCCCGTTTGGTGGGTGTGGCGAGGTGTGGCTTGAAGCAATGTGTGACGTATTTAAAGGGCAGTGGTCATGCTGACAGCGTTCCCCAACTCACAACCCAACCCCTCCCTGTTTTTAAACTAGGTCGTTCAGTACAGCACCGTTTATGTTCAATTGAATGATCCAGAATGTAAAAACGTACTGAACGCAGCCCAGACCAGTACACTAAACCATCCGTATAGCATGATGATGATGATGAGTGTGATGATGCGGAAGATTGTGATTATGAAGTTTGTGACAATGATAAAGATTGTGACGATGATATGATGATGACAATGATGACGATGATAGGACGACGATCGTGTGGATGATTGTGATTGTGATGATGCAAAATATTGTGATGATGATGCTAAAGATTGTTGTGACGATGTTGATGATGACGATGATGATCGTCATCGTTGATGATAATGGTCTGTTTACGAAGTCCACATAGTCCAATGTATACAGTGGGGAGAACAAGTATTTGATACACTGCCGATTTTGCAGGTATTCCTACTTACAAAGCACGTAGAGGTCTGTAATTTTTATCATAGGTACACTTCAACCACGAGAGACGGAATCTAAAACAAAAATCCAGAAAATCACATTGTATGATTTTTAAGTAATTCATTTGCATTCTATTGCATGACATAAGTATTTGATCACCTACCAACCAGTAACATTTCCGGCTCTCACAGACCTGTTCGTTTTTCTTTAAGAAGCCCTCCTGTTCTCCACTCATTACCTGTATTAACTGCACCTGTTTGAACTCGTTACCTGTATAAAAGACACCTGTCCACACACTCAATCAAACAGACTCCAACCTCTCCACAATGGCCAAGACCAGAGAGCTGTGCAAGGACATCAGGGATACAATTGTAGACCTGCACAAGGCTGGGATGGGCTACAGGACAATAGGCAAGAAGCTTGGTGAGAAGGCAACAACTGTTGGCGCAATTATTAGAAAATTGAAGAAATTCAAGATGACGGTCAATCACCCTCTGTCTGGGGCTCCATTCAAGATCTCACCTCGTGGGGCATCAATGATCATGAGGAAGGTGAGGGATCAGCCCAGAACTACACGACAGGACCTGGTCAATGACCTGAAGAGAGCTGGGACCACAGTTTCAAAGAAAACCAATAGTAACACACTACGCCGTCATGGATTAAAATCCTGCAACGCACGCAAGGTCCCCCTGCTCAAGCCAGCGCATGTCCAGGCCCGTCTGAAGTTTGCCAATGACCATCTGGATGATCCAGAGGAGGAATGGGAGAAGGTCATGTGGTCTGATGAGACAAAAATATAGCTTTTTGGTCTAAACTCCACTCGCCGTGTTTGGAGGAAGAAGATGGATGAGTACAACCCCAAGAACACCATCCCAACCGTGAAGCATGGAGGTGGAAACATCATTCTTTGGGGATGCTTTTCTGCAAAGGGGTCAGGACGACTGCACCGTATTGAGGGGAGGATGGATGGGGCCATGTATCGCGAGATCTTGGCCAACAATCTCCTTCCCTCAGTAAGAGCATTGAAGATGGGTCGTGGTTGGGTCTTCCAGCATGACAACGACCCAAAACACACAGCCAGAGAAACTAAGGAGTGGCTCCGTAAGAAGCATCTCAAGGTCCTGGAGTGGCCTAGCCAGTCTCCAGACCTGAACCCAATAGAAAATCTTTGGAGGGAGCTGAAAGTCTGTATTGCCCAGCGACAGCCCCGAAACCTGAAGGATCTGGAGAAGGTCTGTATGGAGGAGTGGGCCAAAATCCCTGCTGCAGTGTGTGCAAACCTGGTCAAGACCTACAGGAAACGTATGATCTCTGTATTTGCAAACAAAGGTTTCTGTACCAAATATTAAGTTCTGCTTTTCTGATGTATCAAATACTTATGTCATGCAATAAAATGCTGGGCCAATTGTGCGCCGCCCCCATGGGTCTCCCGGTCGCGGGACAGAGCCTCCATCATTTCTACATGTTAACACACATAATATATTTTATGCAATGTCTATGTAATGTCTTAATATGTCCTTATTTTTCTATTGCCCATTCTTAACAAGTAAAGTACAAACAACATTAAACAATGAAATTGGGAGAAGCTCCTTCCCTCAGTAAGAGCATTGAAGATGGGTCGTGGCTGGGTCTTCCAGCATGACAATGACCCGAAACACACAGCCAGGGCAACTAAGGAGTGACTCCGTTACAAGCATCTCAAGGTCCTGGAGTGGCCTAGCCAGTCTCCAGACCTGAACCCAATAGAAAATCTTTGGATGGAGCTGAAAGTCCGTATTGCCCTGAAAACTGAAGGATCTGGAGAAGGTCTGTATGAAGGAGTGGGCCAAAATCCCTGCTGCAGTGTGTGCAAACCTGGTCAAGACCTACAGGAAACGTATGATCTCTGTAATTGCAAACAAAGGTTTCTGTACCAAATATTAAGTTCTGCTTTTCTGATGTATCAAATATTTATGTCATGCAATAAAATGCAAATTAATTACTTAAAAATCATACAATGTGATTTTCTGGATTTTTGTTTTAGATTCCGTCTCTCACAGTTGAAGTGTACCTATGATAAAAATTACAGACCTCTACACGCTTTGTAAGTAGGAAAACCTGCAAAATCGGCAGTGTATCAAATACTTGTTCTCCCCACTGTATACAATATGTAATCTCAAACTTTGCTGACTATATGGATTCCATTGTCTAAACCTATTGCCATGTAATATGAAATGTTTCTACATAAAGGAGATTACATCAAGAACAGTGATTTCTGACAAATATTACTGTAGATTGTTGCCCCTTAATTACTCCTTCCGATACTAATCCAAGTGATTTGTCTTGCTCTATAGGTGGTTGGACAGACGTTACGAGCGTGGGATTAAACAGATTTACCTAGTACAGGGAGATTAACACAGATTAATGAGGATTACGGGTCAACTGTGAGATAGATTGAGAGATTGGACTAATCATTAAATCAAATCATAATCTTCCTAAGAAAGCCAGGAAGAACTGAATGTTTCCTGAGAAAAAGAAAGAAGACAGGAGAAAAGGATTAGTGGTTGTATAAAACGTGGTAAAATTGAAGCGTTTATCTTCCAGGACACAACTGTATACCTGTAAACACATGCCAAATCCATGTCATGATACTGGAAACATGGGATGTAGCATACGGACGAAACATTTAAAATGTAAGAGAAATTAATTTATTATATATTTTCTTCCCAAATCTAAAGCTGAAAAGCTGTTTGTCTGATTGCCTCAGTTCAATGACTGCTTTGATTTGCAAATTAATCATCACAAGTCATTATTGAGGGACCACATCTGGATCAGCGTGTAAAGGGTGGAGGAATATCGAAAGGGCTAGTTGAAGAAGAGAGTGACAGAGGCTAGCCCTCATCCAATCCATCGGTCTCGGCCAGTAAATCCTCTAAATTCATTTTACTCTGCTCCATTTCCCCCCGACCCCGTGTTGTTGTTGTTTCTTCTTCTTCTTCTTCTTCTTCTTCTTCTTCTTCTTCTTCTTCTTCTTCTTCTTCTTCTTCTTCTTCTTCTTCTTCTTCTTCTTCTTCTTCTTCTTCTTCTTCTTCTTCTTCTTCTTCTTCTTCTTCTTCTTCTTCTTCTTCTTCTTCTTCTTCTTCTTCTTCTTCTTTCTTCTTCTTCTTCTTCTTCTTCTTCTTCACTCCCATTTCTCTACATCGCTCCATTCCATTTCCCTCATTCTGCCTTGTCATTGAGTCTGCCCACAGTTGCCTCCTCATCATTGTCACTGCCCTCACTCTAGCTGATCTCTCGTCAGTCCTCTGTCATCCCTGTACCCATCCTCTAACCAGCCCCATCACCCTGTTTCACCATCATTCGTCTCAAACTCCTCTTGAGACACCCTATCTCTCGCTTCTTCTTTCCCCCGACCTGTCTCCCACCTCTCTGTCTGTCCATCGGAGGGCCACTATTTCTCCTAGAAGTGGCCTTCGCCCCACACCCATAAGCCACCATGCTGGAGAACATGTCACGATGCAAACGCTCCCTGCTCTCCCTATCCCTGACCTCGCTGGCCCTGGCACTGTCCATCCTGGCATTCTGTACCTCGTACTGGTGCGAGGGGACCCACAAGGTTGCCAAGCCCCTCTGCCTCTCCCCGGTCAAGTTGAAGAACTGCGGGCAGAACAACAGCCAGCCATACACCACAGGTAGGGAAATTATTCACCTATTCATCTGTGCAAGAACGAATGTGGAGCTCGGTACCTAAATAATGATTTGTTTCCCTCGCTCTGTACTTGTGGACTCAACCATGTTGAACCAACACCTGAACATGAATCCTGACACTGATAATTCTTGCTGTTTAGATTTGTCAGGGGAACCCTAAACCCCTTGACATAAAGTCCACCTTTCCCTTTTTTGCAATCCTTCTCTGAACAATCTACTGTATATCAACAGAAAGCACACAGAGCTCTGTTGACATAGTCTAATGTATGTCATCTCAAACTTTGTTGAATATTGTTGTCTAAGCCTATTGCCATGTAATATGCAATTTTCTACATAAGGGAGATTGTCAAAAACAGAGATTTCAGACAGATTTTGCTGTAGATTGTTGCCCATTCATTCCATTGACACGAGGGGGCGGTTTATGGACTCATGGGGACTTTTGACCTCTGTCCCTGAAGAATATTAAATTATGGTCTTGTTATGCCTTTGAAGAACATGGTTGAAAGATGTGTGTTTCTGGAGTTTATTGTAGAAAAACATTACAGTAATACGGTATGTAGACTAGACGCATATATATCTTGCCTAAAACTGTCCAACCGTTCCTGTCCCAATTACCCTCTTACCCTCTCTTTTCCTCAGAGAGTCCCACTCTGGACCCTAAGAAGCCGTCAAACAACATCACCTTGTCGGAAAAGGAAGAGCAGGCGAGGCTTCAGAAAAAGGCCCTTGCCAATGCAGTGCACTACATCTGGGAGACAGGCGAGGATAAGTACATGCTACGCTACTTCCACACAGGTTTCTGGTTGTCCTGCGAGGCACACAACGAGGGTGAGTATTGGGTAACAAGGCCGAAACATTGGGTCTTTATCCAGGCCATTGTTTGAATAAGCTTGAACTTTATAGAAAGGGGGGTTAAGTAGCCTTCATCCCAAGAACCTAATGATGCTTGGTTCTTGTACTGTAAGATCCAATCTCCTCAATGAATGTACTTGCTATGACTGTGATATGTGATATGTGGTTGTCTCACCTAGCTATAATGAATGAATGCACTAAGTAAGTCGCTCTGGATAAGAGCATCTCCTAAATGACTAAAATGTAAATGTAAATGAATCCCTAGCCTTAGCTAGTAATTGCTTGACACAGAGAACTTAATTGGAACAGTGAATAAAACAGGAGACAGCTCTTGTTTTAGGCTGTTGATCTACAGAACCTTGATTGAGTCCAATCTTACAATAGAGTCGGACCTAGGACTTTGCCTTGTGGAACCCCAATAATGACTGGACACTAGTAATTAGAATGCACTATAATGTCGATACATATATCAGCAATTGCCATTGTGTCTTTGAATGTGGCTGTTTTGCTGTTCCACTGTCAATCTATCTCTGCAAGACTGGTTGCTTTAACACCGTACGCATCCACTGATCTGGGATAGTCCCTAATCAACCGAGGCTATTTAGAAGTAAATTATCACAAGCGGGTGCACTGTTAATAATTTAATCATCTTTAATGTTGACAATGTATACTCAAGAGTCAGTGAAGGCAAACTCAAAGGAATTTCTTCCAATGTCGCCTTAGGACTAATTTGCTAAATCACTGTAGAGAGGGGAGAGTTAGAGCTCTTGTCTTGAGCCTAGATAGAGAACATCTGGTGGATTTCTCCCTCTTCTCAATGTGGCTTATTCTACTTTAGAAAGTGTCCCCTTCCGATTGCCCATGCCAATTTTAAGATCTCACAACAGACACTCAAGGGATCTAAAATTAAATCAGTATGTAAATCTTCTTGACAAGGCCCTAAAAGATACAGTACATGTGAATATACTGACTTAAGTTTTATTTGTTGCTAATCACATTATATTTGTCTTACAGAGGAGAAGTGCCGGAGCTTCATTGAATTGACTCCAGGGGAGACACAAGGTTTGTGCTCATTGAAAGTACATATAGGTGATGCTAATACGTCACCATTAAATTGCGGGTCGTCAAGTCAAATAAGCACTGTATGCCAACTTTTTCTCTCTCTACCTCTCTCCAATCTTAATTGTCCCATTTTCTCTCTTTCTATCGCTCTCTTCCTCAATCTATCGCTCTCTCTCTCTGACAGGGGTGCTATGGCTGTCAGTAGTATCAGAGTTTGCGTACATAGGCCTTTTGGCCATGGGCTTTCTCCTCATGTGGGTGGAGGTGCTGTGTCTCTGTGCCCGTAAGGAGATGTACGCTCTCAAGATCAATGCCTTTGCCGCTATATGCACTGTCCTTTCAGGTGAGACAGCCATGACTAACAGAACTTTCTCTTATCACCAATGTTAACAAGGTAAAGCATTGATTATTCGATGTTGGTCAAATAAATAAGGAGATTGTCCGCAAATAAATCACCCTTTCTCACTCTTCCTCCCCCTCTCTCTCACAGGTCTGATGGGGATGGTGGCTCATATGATGTACACCACAGTGTTCCAGATGACTGTGAGCATTGGGCCAAAAGATTGGAGACCACAGACCTGGGACTACGGCTGGTCATTTGTGTAAGTATCCCTTTAGGCATAGTTCACCCAAATTACAAAATTGCTTATTTGTTCCCTTACCCTGAAAGCAGTCTTTGGAAATGGAGATACTACAATCCATGATTTGGTTTGTTTACCTAGGCACTGTCTCCAACCGTTAACTTAAGCATTTTCTAACCACAATCCAATGGAAAACAGTGGAGTCTGGAATTATTGGATCCCTTTATAAAGATGAGCAAAAAACCCTGTATAAAATTAATAATACAATACTGAGCTATATTGTATGCACACTTTTTTTTTTTTAGAATTGTATTATTTTAAACAAATACAATTTCTCAGAGAAAGAGATTGTGTTTATCAACTAGTACAAATCTCAAAAAGATAGGGGTCAAAATGATTGGATCCCATGTTTTCAATACTCCAGCATCCTCTCCTTGCAAGGATAATGACACTGAGAATTGTTCTAAAATGTTTTATGAGATTGGAGAACACATTGGGAAAGATCTTAGACCATTCCGCAATACAGAATCTTTCCAATTCCTTGATATCCTTAGTCTGTGCTTATGGACTGCCTTCTTCAATTCAAACCACAGGTTTTCAATGGGATTCAAATCCAGAGACAGAGATGGCCATTGCAAAATGTTGATGTTGTGGTCAATTAACAATTTCTTTGTGGATTTTGATGTGTGCGTGGCCAAAGACCTCTATGTTGGTGTCATTTGACCATTGCACCAGTTCCAATCCAAGTGCTAATGCCATATAGCAAACTCCAGGCGGTGTTATGGTCAGATGACATGAAAATAGAGCTCTTTGGCCATGCACACCAACGGTGGGTTTGGCCTTCGAAAGAACAATGCCTATGCAGAAAATACCTAATCCCTATTGTATAATAAGTATCAGGACATTTTAGCCAAAAACCTGGTTGCCTCTGCCAGGAGGCTGAAACTTGGCAACAAGTGAATCTTCCAGCAAGACAATAATCCTAAACACACGTCAAAATCCACAAATAAATAGTTAATTGATCACAAAATCAATATTTTGCAATGGCCATCTCAGTCTCAGGACTTGAACCCCATCGAAAACCAGTGGTTTGAATTGAAGAGGGCAGTCCATAAGAGCAGACTAAGGATGTCAAGGATCTGGAAATATTTTGTATGGAGGAATGGTTTAAGATCCCTCCCAATGTGTTCTCTAATTTCATAAAACATTTTAGAGAAAGACTCAGGGACCTTATCCTCGCAAGGAGAGGGTGCTGGAGTATTGAAAACAGGGGATCCAATAATTGTCTTTTTGAGATTTTTTTGTATTACTGGTTAAACAAAATCTATTTTTTTCAATTGTATTAGTATAAAATAATATAATACAAAAAAAAATGGAGCATACAATATAGCACAGTATTTGTATTGTTTATTTTATACAGAGTTTTTTGCTCATCTTTATCAAGGGATCCATTAATTCCAGACCCCACTGTATGTACCCGATATCAGCATTGTTTAAAACTTCTAGGCCATATTTACAGCCTATTCATAACCAATGATTACCATCCTTTCTCTCTCTTACCCCCAGTCTGGCCTGGATCTCCTTCAGCTGCTGCATGGCGGCGGCTGTCTTCACCCTCAACTCCTACACCAAGACACTGATAAAGATGAAGCACCGCGCCCGCGTTCGTCTGGAGGAGGCCCGGGCGGCCATCCATGCACCCTCGTACGACGAGGTGTTGCAGGCGGTCGGGGGCGTCTGCTCAGTCAGCAGCCTGCTCCAGCACTGCCAGCAGGGGGCGTTGATCGACCCCACGTGTGAGGGAAGGTGGCCGCCGGTGGGCCCCGGCCCAGGGGTTCCAGACCACAGAGGGCTGGTGATGATGGCTGGTGGCTGTGGGACAGAGGGGTGCGAGGACTGCGAGAGGGAGATGGATGAGATTGAGGAAGCCCTGGTTAGGGAAGAGAGGGGGGAGATGGAGGGAGAGGACTGTGAGAGGTTCTGAGGGAAGGGAGGAGGAGGGGTTAAAAATAGGTTCTAGCCCTCTGAAACGTATTTTTGTCTTTAATTTTGTACATGTTTTGGATTGAACTGTGAAATGGACTGTGCTTGATTTCAGTCATTGCAGTGATGATTATTTCAGTACCTCAACCCCTGAATTAAATCTGAGTAGATAAAGCTCTGTAAAACCACACACAGAGAGTGACATGGATTGTCTGGGTAGAGATCAATAGAGACAATCGCTAAGAAATGCCTGGCATTGGCCACATTTAACATATATATTATATATCATTTTTATTCTATTGTATTGATGGTAGCCCGGTTATTACTATCCTGATATTGATAGTAACTGTGGTGACATTGTGAATAAAAGTGGTTAAAAAAGTGAAACTGTCTCATTTACATTTTACATTTACGTCATTTAGCAGACGCTCTTATCCAGAGCGACTTACAAATTGGTGCATTCACCTTATAGCCAGTGGGATAACCACTTTACAATATGTTATTTTTTTTTATTATTCTTTTTATTTCTTTGGGGTGGGGTAAGGGGGGGTAGAAGGATTACTTTATCCTATCACAGGTATTCCTTAAAGAGGTGGGGTTTCAAGTGTCTCAGGAAGGTGGTGAGTGACTCAGCTGTCCTGGCGTCGTGAGGGAGCTTGTTCCACCATTGGGGTGCCAGAGCAGCGAACAGTTTTGACTGGGCTGAGCGGGAACTGTGCTTCCGCAGAGGTAGGGGGGCCAGCAGGCCAGAGGTGGATGAACGCAATGCCCTCGTTTGGGTGTAGGGACTGATCAGAGCCTGAAGGTACGGAGGTGCCGTTCCCCTCACAGCTCCGTAGGCAAGCACCATGGTCTTGTAACAGATGCGAGCTTCAACTGGAAGCCAGTGGAGTGTGCGGAGGAGCGGGGTGACGTGAGAGAACTTGGGAAGGTTGAACACCAGACGGGCTGCGGCATTCTGGATGAGTTGTAGGGGTTTAATGGCACAGGCAGGGAGCCCAGCCAACACCGAGTTGCAGTAATCCAGACGGGAGATGACAAGTGCCTGGATTAGGACTTGTGCCGCTTCCTGTGTAAGGCAGGGTCGTACTCTCCGAATGTTGTAGAGCATGAACCTACAGGATCGGGTCACCGCCTTGATGTTAGCGGAGAACGACAGGGTGTTGTCCAGGGTCACGCCAAGGCTCTTTGCACTCTGGGAGGAGGACACAACAGAGTTGTCAACCGTGATGGCGAGATCATGGAACGGGCAGTCCTTCCCCGGGAGGAAGAGCAGCTCCGTCTTGCCGAGGTTCAGCTTGAGGTGGTGATCCATCATCCACACTGATATGTCTGCCAGACATGCAGAGATGCGATTCGCCACCTGGTTATCAGAAGGGGGAAAGGAGAAGATTAGTTGTGTGTCGTCTGCGTAGCAATGATAGGAGAGGCCATGTGAGGATATGACAGAGCCAAGTCACTTGGTGTATAGCGAGAATAGGAGAGGGCCTAGAACTGAGCCCTGGGGGACACCAGTGGTGAGAGCACGTGGTGCAGAGACAGATTCTCGCCACGCCACTTGGTAGGAGCGACCGGTCAGGTAGGACGCAATCCAAGAGTGAGCCGCGCCGGAGATGCCCAATTCGGAGAGGGTGGAGAGGAGGATCTGATGGTTCACAGTATCAAAGGCAGCAGACAGGTCTAGAAGGACAAGAGCAGAGGAGAGAGAGTTAGCTTTAGCAGTGCGGAGAGCCTCCGTGACACCGAGAAGAGCAATCTCAGTTGAATGACCAGTCTTGAAACCTGACTGGTTTGGATCAAGAAGGTCATTCTGAGAGAGATAGCAAGAGAGTTGGCTAAAGACGGCACGCTCAAGAGTTTTGGAGAGAAAAGAAAGAAGGGATACTGGTCTGTAGTTGTTGACATCAGTGTTGGTTTTTTGAGAAGGGGTGCAACTCTCGCTCTCTTGAAGACGGAAGGGACATAGCCAGCGGTCAAGGATGAGTTGATGAGCGAGGTGAGGTAAGGGAGAAGGTCACCGGAGATGGTCTGGAGAAGAGAGGAGGGGATAGGGTCAAGCGGGCAGGTTGTTGGGCGGCCGGCCGTCACAAATCGCAAGATTTCATCTGGAGAGAGAGGGGAAAAAGAAGTCAGAGCATAGGGTAGGGCAGTGTGAGCAGGACCAGCAGTGTCATTTGACTTAACAAACGAGGATCAGATGTCGTCAACCTTCTTTTCAAAGTGGTTGACGAAGTCATCCACAGAGAGGGAGGAGGGGGGGGAGGGGGAGGAGGATTCAGCAGGGAGGAGAAGGTGGCAAAGAGCTTCCTAGTGTTAGAGGCAGATGCTTGGAATTTAGAGTGGTAGAAAGTGGCTTTAGTAGCAGAAACAGATGAAGAAAATGTAGAGAGGAGGGAGTGAAAAGATGCCAGGTCCGCAGGGAGTCTAGTTTTCCTCCATTTCCGCTCGGCTGCCCGGAGCCCTGTTCTGTGAGCTCGCAATGAGTCGTCAAGCCACGGAGCAGGAGGGGAGGACCGAGTCTGCCGGGAGGATAGGGGACATAGAGAGTCAAAGGATGCAGAAAGGGAGGAGAGGAGGGTTGAGGAGGCAGAATCAGGAGATTGGAGGGAGAAGAATTGAGCAGAGGGAAGAGATGATAGGATGGAAGAGGAGAGAGTAGCGGCAGAGAGAGAGCGAAGGTTGCGACGGCGCATTACCATCTGAGTAGGGGCAGAGTGAGTAGTGTTGAAGGAGAGCGAGAAAGAAAAGGATACAAAGTAGTGGTCGGAGACTTGGAGGGGAGTTGCAGTGAGATTAGTAGAAGAACAGCATCTAGTAAAGATGAGGTCAAGCGTATTGCCTGCCTTTTGAGTAGGGGGGGACGGTGAGAGGGTGAGGTCAAAAGAGGAGAGGAGTGGAAAGGAGGCAGAGAGAAATTCTAAGAAATTCTAAGTAACCCAATTCTAAGTAACTCATGTCAGTTACTTAGAATTGGGATTTTCTCTCAGTCTCTGTTATCATGTCATGTCAGTTCTAATTAAACTGGACGAATCCTGGGCATTGTCTGTTGGGACAACTGTCTCATTATCACCGGTTGATGTCCAGAAATAGATGATGAAATTATCTTGTAGTTAAACGGAGAGTGATGCAAATATTACATAAAAATACAGGGAGCTTTGGAGGTTAACATTTACATTTACGTCATTTAGCAGACGCTCTTATCCAGAGCGACTTACAGGAGCAATTAGGGTTAAGTGCCTTGCTTAAGGGCACATCGACAGATTTTTCACCTAGTCGGCTCGGGGATTAGAACCAGCGACCTTTCGGTTACTGGCACAACGCTCTTACCCACTAAGCTACCTGCCACCCCCCAGATGCTTTCAAATGCTGGACAGAAGATTATGTCAATAATCTCCCCAGTCAGAGGAACAAGGGCAAAGAGCAAGGGAGAGAGAGAGGGGGAGGAGCTAGGGAAGGATGGGATTGATGGGTGTGACCGTCATCTCTATAAGTCTGTAGGGTTATTCAGATGTACACTATATATACAAAAGTATGTGGACACCCCTTCAAATGAGTGGATTCGGCTATTTCAGTCACACCCATTGCTGACAGGTGTATAAAATCGAGCACTCAGCCATGCAATCTCCATAGAGGCAGTAGAACGGCCTTACTGAAGAGCTCAGTGACTTTCAACGTGGCACTTTCATAGGATGCCACCTTTCAAACAAGTCAGTTCGACACATTTCTGCCCAGCTAGAGCTTCCCCGGTTAACTGTAAGTGCTGTTATTGTGAAGTGGAAACATCTAGGCTCACCAACGGCTCAGCAGCGAAGTGGTAGGCCACACAAGCTCACAGAACGGGACCGCCGAATGCTGAAGCGCGTAGCACGTACAAAATCATCTGTCCTCGGTTGCAACACTCACTACCGAGCTCCAAACTTCCTCTGGCAGCAACGTCAGCACAATAACTGTTTGTCGGGAGCTTCATGAAATTAGTTTCCATGGCCGAGCAGCCACACACAAGCCTAAGATCACCATGCGCAATGCCAAGCGTCGTCTGGAGTGGTGTAAAGCTCGCTGCCATTTGACTCTGGAGCAGTGGAAACGTGTTCTCTGAAGTGATGAATCACGCTTCACAATCTGGCAGTCCGACGGACAAATCTGGGTTTGGCAGATGCCAGGAGAACGCTACCTGCCCCAATGCATAGTGTCAACCGTAAAGTTTGGTGGAGGAGGAATAATGGTCTGGGGTTGTTTTTCATGGTTCGGGCTAGGCCACTTCGTTCCAGTGAAGGGAAATCTTAACGCTACAGCATACAATGACGTTCTAGACGATTCTGTGCTTCCAACTTTGTGGCAACAGTTTGGGGAAGGCCCTTTCCTGTTTCAGCATGACAATGCCCCAGTGCACAAAGCGAGGTCCATACAGAAATGGTTTGTCGAGATCAGTGTGGAAGAACTTGACTGGCCTGCACAGAGCCCTGACCTCTCCTATTTGGCATATCTTCAATTTAAGCCTACTAGAAAGTGTGTGCCCTCAGGCCTGGAGGGAAGCAAAAGTTATTCCCCTACCTAAGAATAGTAAAGCCCCCTTAACTGGCTCAAATAGCTGTCCAATCAGCCTGTTACCAACCCATAGTAAACCTTTTGAAAAAATTGTGTTTGACCAGATAAAATGCTATTTTACAGTAAACAATGTGATTTTTCTGGATTTTTTTTCTCATTTTGTCTGTCATAGTTGACGTGTACCTATGATGAAAATTACAGGCCTCTCTCATCTTTTTAAGTGGGAGAACTTGTACAATTGGTGGCTGACTAAATACTTTTTTTCCCCACTGTATATATATATCCTTTTTAAAAATATATTCCTCTTTATTACTTTCCAACCCCACCACCCCTTCCCCAATTGGAGTAAACTAGTGAACAACAATGCTTAGGCCTCTACTTCCAGCTTATACATACTATTTACATTTTATGGACACAGTCAATTTTACAATAATTATATTTTGTTTGTTTTTACTC